CGCTCCTGCAAGCCCGGACCGCTCATGGGCATCAGGGACGAGCGACACTTGCTCAAGTCGCTTGGAGATATGCTTCTCAACGTCGAACGTGACGTCCACTATGCACTGCAGAGGCGCCGCGTCGGTGGCCCTGGCGTCGGCAGGCGTGCAGTCGGCGTCAACGTTGATCGTGTGTTGGTCGCGGGAGCGGGCCTGCGATGCAAGTCGAGTGGTGGGAGGCACGACGATATGAAGCCGACTGAGATCTGGTTCAGAAGCGCGAGATAACTGATGCTTGCTGCGGTCGCGGAAAGGTTTGGGTCGGGGAAGCGGCGAGTTGTTGATCAGAGGCAGACGCCCGATGGCTCAGCGACGCTGGGCGCCCGTGAGAGCCCGTGAGCGTCACGCGCCTGAGCCCAGCTGAGCACACTTGGCTCCACTTGGGACTTTTTGGGGTTCACCAAATGTTGGCGGAACTACGAATCTCGTTCACGCGACGTGCCCGCGCTCAGGGAGAGAGGCGCGCGGCTTTGTGGGCTGAGCCTGAGCCCAGAGCCCTGAACCGAGATCGGATCCGAAACGAGATTCCCATTCGGCGGCTCACGTCCGTAAGGAGTGCGCCGTCGCCCCGGCGTGCAAGTGCTGCGCATGCACCCGGACATAACCGCGCTAATAGCTCGTCACTCTGGGCTCACATCGAGGTTCTTCCCCGCTTGGCCTCTACAGGCGTCTACACTATGTGGTACCAAAGTCCCTATGAACGGTACAAGAATGACCTCGGATGTGATCCCAAAGTCCGCTTCAATGTGATCCCAAACGCAACCCAGGATTCTGATGCGGGGCTTTGGTATTCATTTGGTTGGCTCAAGGCTACGCATTTTGTTACATGGGACAGGACAATACACCTGATACATTTCCAAAAAACAACACTCCTATGAACGAAACGTGAATGATGTAAGGGCCCTCCCAGATTACGACTTGGGCCAGAAACTCTGCGCAGTCGAGCCGAATGAAGGCACCGCTGGCGCAGTCCTATTTCCAGTCTGGAATTATACTGGAACGGACGGAAATTGACCTGGGGTATCTATTGCAATGATCGGTACTAACAACGAGCAACCATATTTAGGCCCAGCGCAAAGGTGGTCACTTCAGAGCAAGGGAAGCAGCTGCTCAATGTCCGAGATGATGGACTCGTGCGACATCGCCTTGGACGGACCCCACAACTCCCTCAGTTGAACTTCTTCCATAGCCACCTTCGAACCAAGGAACCGGCTGTCGAGGCCGCAATTCCGTCTCAAGATGTCAAAAAGTAGCTGAATATTGGTCCATCGATGTGCGCAGCCTTCGAGTAGAGATTCGTAAGGTTGGTCCATCCGAAGCACAACTTTGAGGGTATAGACTAGGTGCGCTTCTGGCCGATTCCAGTCCCGCCAGATGGTTTCACCCTTTGGCGTCATGACAAGCTCTTCATTGTTGCCCTGGTAAGGCTCGCGGAACGAAACTTCCATCACGACGTAGAAAAGCGACTCGATGTCGTGCCATCGTTCGTGGACAACACCGAGCCGCTCATTCGGTTGGGCGAGGATCGAGCAGGCGAGGTAGGGCCAGGTGCCCTGTCAGACGTCGTATAGTCCAAAGGTTAGTGCTGGTCAGAAAGTTCATTTGGGGGAACATACAGAGGGGAGGACGCACGGATCGTATTCTGTGGTGCAGCTCGGTGCAAAGTCGATCATGCGGGACGGCGAGGTGATAATCGATGAGGGCGCCGACACCGTCGCGGTCGATGACGGCGTTACCGTACGAGATATCCCGGTGGATGTACCCCAGCCTGTAGAGGTTTCGGTGTCCTGCAATGTCGTGGGAAGGGGCGTGTCGGCTAGGGAGCGCAAACGCAACGCCGCCCAGTTGATCCCTGTGCTCACCTTTGACGACTCCAAGTACGGCCTGGGCGAGTTCCCTGGTCGTGGTCGCCGTGTTCAGGGGCCGATAACACTGTCGGTGGAAGACCACCTCCAGTGCCCGGGGCCCGATATCATCGAAGCTTTCATCATCACCAAGGAAAGTTGGAAGCGTGCGGAAGTCGTCCCGGTAGATGCCGGCGCTAAGGCTTAAACCCTCGGTGTCGATACGCGACGCAGCGTGCATGTTGCGACGTAGGGCAATCGCATCGTCGAGGCGGGATTGCTCAACCCATGCGACTGTCATGGCGTACTCGGTGGCAGGTGTAGGCAAGGTGATCGACGTGCGGTCGACAGGCGCGTGTCGCGCGGTGACGCGGAAAGCGGAGGTGGCGCGACCCAGGCAGCTTCGGCGTCGGAAGAGGAGCTCCTGGATCTCGAGATCTGAGATATCGCCGAGCTCGGACTCGAAGTCGTGGGCGCGGGGTGGGAGAAACTTGTCCGAGACGACAAAACTGCCGAAACCGTCGTCGACCTCGTTCGTCGAGGCCAGCATCCCGAGCTCGTTGTCGTCGAGTTCGATGAGGTGTGACAGCACGCGCCGGAGCAGCACGGCTCCCTGACCGCACTCGCGGGCGCTCGTCGTGAACACCCCACACGCGTTGAAGAGGTAGACTTGAAGCACGTCCCCGCAAAGGGTGACCCCGATCGCGTGGGCGCGGAGCGCGGTCGTGCAGATCATGTGTAGCCGCCTGATCACTTGGTTACGCGCTTCTGCGCTCCTCTTGTCGCTCTTCTTCACCTCAATCGCAACTGCAATCTGCGAGTATGCGCGTTGAGGCGACGAGGGCGTGCCTTCCATCGACGTTGGGTGCTCTGACTGCGCCCAAACGAACGGAAGATCGGGGGCAGCGGCCACCGCCGCATGCGTGAGGATGACGGCGTCGGGCGTGTTCTCCTGCTCCCCGCGATCGGGCGCCAGCTTGATGGGGCTACCCGAGTTGCCGCATCCGACCAGACGTCGATCACCAGTCTACACCCGGGTGCATCAATGATCGGGAGACAGTGGTCAGTCATACTCGTGCGGTCGAAGCCAAGCGATAGCACCGGGGCACTCACCACATCCTTGATCGCGTCAGCCATCTGTTTCATTGCAGCCTCCGTCCCCAGTTTCTCCGTCGGTTTGGGGATCTTGGCTTCGTAGGTGGAAGGCGTGTCAAAAAAATATGTGTCCATCGCCTTTGACTGTCGAGGTTTGCCCATATGGGCGAAGAGCTGGTGCTCCCTCGCTTCCGCCGTGGCCGTCATCGACACTGAGGGGCTCGACTTCATCGGGCTCGATTGTGTCGTAGCAACGCTGATGTCCGACATGCCTGGTAGGCCTACGGCCTCACGTGCACGACCGGTTCGTCCCGGTCGAGTGGCGTTAAAGTTGACTGGCCAGCGCGACGAGCTGGGCAGTTGGGTCGTGGCGGCTTGGGCGGGGGGCGCAAGAGCAGACGTGCCAACCGACGGGCCTGGCGCGCCGTCTCTGGCGTTGACGAGTCGCTGGCTTCTTCGGAGCTCGGGCCCCGACGACGTTCTTTTTTTTTTTGACGACGGCTCGCCTGAGACGGCTTGGCCCGAGCGCCGGGCGTCCTGATTATAATTAGGCACTGCAATTCACCTCAGGCAGATAAAAAGTAACCAGTCTTAGTAGCGCCGCCGCGCGGCCAGAAAACCTTATGCAAAGAGGCGACCTGGGCCCGGTAGCAACACTGCTACCGACGGTAGCAACTCGGCGCCGGGACAGGCCCGTACACCTCTTCCAAGTCCGTTAAGACCACTACATTGATCATGTGACGACATGAGAGATAATAAGAAGCAAAGATTGATTTCGAGTTGAATCAGTAACCACACGTAATTTTTTAAATGTTAAGACTCTAAGCGCCTGAGCGCCTGAGGCCGGGGCTCATGCTCATGGGCGGGTGTCCAGTCACGTGCTTGACGCGTTGTAAGATGAGGAACACGTCAAATTGGCACGCAAGGAATCTGTCGCGCGTGCATGCAGGCGGCCGCCGCTGCTTCCTGCAGGACGTACTACCTGGATCGTCGCAGACTTAACCCACCCGGAGCTCGTTGCTGCTGAGCTACTACACTTGTGTTCTCGTATTCATTCCGCTCAGTCACCATGGGCCGCCCCTCGCGACTCAAACCACGCTTTCCACGGATCAAGCCTTCGGACTACCTCGACCATCCCGATTGCCCGAATCAATACGCCACGATGCCGCTGTACCTTGTCACTTTCGGAGGTACGATCGTCGATAAAGGAGGACGTAAGAGGCCGAGGAAGGCCAAGACAGATATGGATGCCACTCCCACCACATCTGCAACGTCAAACGTCGAAACGAGCACGAACCAACGCGTCCCTGTCGCCTCGACCTCAGTCTTCGCCAATGACCTGAACTTCTCCTACGATGATTTCAACGAGGATTATCTCAGGGACTTCCCTCTTGCTCAGCAGGCCGAGTACGAAGACCTAGGGGGAATGGATCTTTCCATGGAGCGCTGGGACCCACCCGACCCCGACTTACAACGCCCAACTCACCAGGAACTCGCACAGGAGGTTTTACCAACTCCCCGCGTCGCCGATCCGCCGGTTGCCGCTAAGCAAGAAGGTTACTTCAAGTTTATCACACTCGAGCACGAGCAGCGCGAGAGTCAGCGCGCTGCCCTTTGGGTCTCTATCTTGATTTACGCATAGGCACCAATGGGTGACCAACTGAGAGGGTTGATCGCTCGACGATGAGCGTTTGTCGCGCGATCACCAGAGCACGGCAGAGGACGGCGGAGCTGCCGAGAGTGACCAAGCAGGACAGAGCAGGACCAAGCTCGATCTTCGGCATCCGAGTCCAGCAGTCCGAGCGGCGAGACCCGGAGCACGATCTATTCGTAGAGTGCGCTCGGCTGCCCCACAGCTATGCCTTGATTCGCTGTTAGTACAGATAACCGCTTCGACTCTTCAATTTGGGGAAGGCAGAGATGGCAGACGTGATTTGACTGCGTGGTCCCAATGGAAACAGGGGCTACGCAGCTTGTGCCGATGGAATAGGAATTCAATTGGGGGCAATGAAAACCTATATACTACTGCAGTTTCAGTAACCTGTGATAACGACCCAGAACACCACCATAATCAGGCTGCTGCGCCCCCTCCAGCATGCGTCGCAACTCGGCCTGCACCTGCACCATCTTCTGCTTGACACAGCGGTGGTGCCGCCTGTCACCGGTGGCGAACGGGGGGAGGCTGCCCGGATGAGCGCACGTCATGAATTTGACCAAATCGTGGAGCCCACTATCCACATTTGCCAGATCCTCGAGAAACGCTTGGCGTACTTCGGGACAGTACCCACCCTCCCAGAGCTCCAGGCGTGCGCGAGCGAGGGGTAAGGTCGCTTCGTTCGACAGTGGGCGGAGTTGTAGTCCCTCCCACAACTCGGCCGAGACCGATTCACCGATGAACCAGTCCAGAACGTGGAGGAACCAATAGACGGAGGACTCGAAGTCGTGGCGAAGGGCATGCGGGGGGACCTTGTAGCAACCGTTCACCAAACCCCTCGGGTAATTTAAGACCTCCTGGGAAGCGGTGGCATCGGTGATCCTGAACGAGCCGCCGACGTCGGCAGCGATAGGGACGCGTGTACCCGGTTGCGCAACGATGCCTGTGTCCCAGTCGACCAGAACAAGATGGCCTTGGTAGTGAAGGACGTTGCCGAGGGACAAATCACGATGGTGGATGCCGAGATCCCAGAGCGCGGGCAGAAGCGTGAGGAGCTGGTCAAAGACCTCGCAGGCCTGGGAGAGTTTGTGCTGAGGACCGCGGCCAGTGTCGACGCGGATCGGTAGCGGCGTAGGATTGCGCACGATCAGCAAGTCGAGTGTACTCCGACACGACTCTCGCAGGCGTCGTTCAGGATCGACCGGGTCCATGAGTACGGGCAAGGCGCTGTCGTCCATTTGTGATCGATGTAGACCGAGCGACGTGGCCTTCTCGGGTAACGGGACGTGTCGTTCGATGAGCAGCGACGAAGCCGAGGGGGCGTGGGAAGTGCGACACTGGACGATCTTGTCCAGGACATCGGCTTCGCAGCCTTTAGACTTCTGATTGATGTGCTGGATCTTGAGCACGAACGACGGCGACAGACCTGACGTCGACAATGACCCTTGCACCAAGCTGGGACGCGTCAGCTCGAAGATGACCGTGCAGCGTCCAAAGATGGAGCTGCCCCCTGCGACTCGACAGTCGACGAGCTTGACAGGCTCCTCGGCGACGAACTCGACGGTGCGACCGACCAGGGGAGCATCTGCTTCAAGCTCGGATGGTCGAAGGTATAGTGTACGGAAAGCGACGGGAGCGATGCCGGTCTTGGGGTGATGCGCGTAGCGAAACAGAGGGGACAGTCCGGCCGAGTAGACCTCCAGTCCAAGCAGGACGGAGAGCACCGAAGCGAGCTCGCCGAAGCCCTCGCCCCAGCAATCGGGAATGATCGCAATACGGCACCCCTCGTGGTCCAAAACGACGAAGTAAGCTGTGTCGTCACGAATAGCCAAGCCTGGTGCATACATGCGGGCCGGCTGCGTGAGCGCATCTCGTGCCAGGTCGAGTACGACATTGATGAGAGGGGGAACGGTCAGAGTCGAAAGGTCGCTTGGCGGACGGACACCGAAAGCCAATGGGACGAGCATGCTATGCGTGCCAGTTCCATTGTTCCCCGACCCGAGCTCGTCGCAGCACGTTAAAAAGTGATGTCGTTCCACATGTTGGAGGCGGCAGGCGCCGCCTCCGAGGGTCAACCGAGCCTGCCGTTCGGCGTGTGCGACCTTCAAGTTGTTCTGCCGATGGGATCCACCGGATGCCTGTACCGACGATGCGAGTTGCAAAGCGAGGGATGTGATCATAGTCGTGACATATGGCCTTCGACAAAGTCGTCATTCAGGATATGGCACTCACAAAGTCAGCGAGTGGTAAGACCCAATCTGCCACCCGTTGATCCGGCGAGCGTCGGCAATCCTTGTCGAACAGGACTTGTACTTCTGATCGTCCGGGTCGCGCAAGAGCATCCTGCGCCTGGCGTTTGAATTGTGTTGCGTCGAACCCAAGTGCCGAGTGCACCAAGTCAGACGCGCTACAGATCACTACTCGCGGAACAATCTCGTCTTCGATGAAGCAGAGATCGACATCCTCGTCGAGCTCGGGCAACGTAAGCCTTTCGACCGTGGCATAGTAGGCCTGAGTACGAGATGGCATCGCCCCACTTGGCGACGAGAGAGGATGAGAGCGCTGCGAACTGTCCGATGAATCCGGGCACGAGTCTGACGGCGCGGGTGAAGGAGGGGTCCATGACGTTGGCTTCACAGGCAAGGTGGCCTGTGGCGGGTCAGAAGTGGCGCGTGGAGCCGACGAGCCACCCATCAGCAGGTCAGCAACTCACACCGGGTCTGGCAGCAGAGCATTTACATACAAGCGGTTTTTGCTTGGCCGCATGTTCGTTGAATGGGAATGCGTTTAGTGGATGTGCCGCGACGCTCAAGGGCAAGTACACCAGCGGGGATGGTGACTCTACGTCGCAGTGCTCCAACTTCAACGAAGACGCGCGCGTAGCACTTCGAGTCTGGCGCTTGCTACCTACGGGTTTGTTGAGTGGAGGGCTGGGCGGAGACCGAGCACGTTGTTTGTTCACCATGCTTGAACGACGAGCGGGGCTGTGCAGGCTGTGCAGGGTCGTGTGGAGGGAGATAACGAGAGAGGAACTGCGCGTGTCGGCGGTGGCACGCCGGCGAGAATGGCCGGTTGCCGACTGCTTCCGACTGTGCGTAGCGGCGAGGTGGCCGAGGCGGGAGAGCAGTGAGAGGAGCGGAGGAGAGGCGTGAACGCGTGAACGCTGGGCGGGGCGGGACACTTCACCACTTCAGGGGCGGTACCGGTGCTGGGGGGTGCGCTTGCGCTAAAGTCGCGCGCGCCACATTGAGTTGGCGCAATTGAGTTAGCGCACATGAATTGGCGCAGTCGAGCGCCCGAGTAAGCGCACTTGAGTTAGCGCACAGCGCGCGTGAGTTGGCGCACCGAGTTGAGTTGGCGCACTTAGTTGGCGCAATCAGGCGCGCCGCACGCGGCCATCCCCTTGTCTTCATGCTGCAACGAGCCATATCCTACGATGCAACTGCTTTCACGCTTCTTTCGGAAACGAAGCGCCGATAACACGGACGACAAAATCGTCGGCACCTCAGCTACGACAGCATCGACAGCGTGCCAGAACGAGATCGGCCCCTGTGTCGACACTACACGGCGCAAACACCGCGAGCCAACTCCAGGCCACGAAGCGCCGCTTTGATGAGCTTTCAATACACAATGATGGACAGAATACAGGATCGACTGCAATTGATCAGTCGAGCGAGAAGCCATCGTGTTACGAGGTCGACCCCGTAGCTTAGTCCCGGCGCCCGCGGCGACCAGGCCTCAGGGTCGTCCGAGGAAGACGGAGGAGGAGACGGAGGAGGCGGCCATAGCCAAGTCCGAGAGAGCAGCACAGCAAGCTACCGAAAGAGAACTTGATGATGAACGTGCAAGACAACTCAAGGAAGCGGAGCGAGCTAGGCTAGAGGCCGAGCGAGCGCCTCAACGCCAACTCATATTAGACGAGCAGATTCAGCGAATGCAGGTCAGTTGTGAAAGCCCGATTTGCGATATAGATCAGTGGGATCTGAGTGTCAAAACCTGTTAGGCATGTGGCATTGACGTCAGAAATGAAACGTGCCGCATCCTTCCATACAGTTTCCCCCTGCAAAAGTGTACACTGTGAGCCGGGCTACACTCCCGTCGCCCGTATCCCTTCTGACTAATGCATGTCCGTGGCTCCTAATCTTAGACTCAAGCAACTCTCAACTTTGCACCGGCAAAAAACTTCACCCCAAACTCCGTTTCCAGATGGCTCGTCTGCCATACCTTCCGCATCCGATGCCTCAGTCTCGACCAACTCCACGTCGCGCTCGATTCCGACGTCGGTCGGATCGGCATTGCCCGACAATTCAGACTCTTTCAACAGTCTCGAAGGAGGCATCCACCGGAACCTTCGCCAACGGTTTCCAAAGTCTGGTGTTTCTCCGTGCCATGCCAATGCGTGCTTGGCTGACTACGTGCTAGTGCACAATCTCACGGTCAGTCCAACTCCACCATCGCGATTCGAAGAAGCGGCAACCACTCTCACCCATTACCCCTTGTGTTCGCAGGTTGGGACGTTCAGTCGTACCGGAAAACCATTCGTGGGGCACTACGACCTCTGGCACACTGTGGAATTACATCGTCTGAGGCGCAAGACCTCGGCATTTCTCCCACGGCACTCAATCACTGTGTCAGATATAGTCAACCCGCTGCTCTACACCACCAAAACATTCGGCATCGTACCTGTTGTTCAGTCGCCAACAGCGCAAATGCGCTTTTTGATCGAGCCCTATCATATCGAGCGCGGGACTCTGCGTTTGGAGCCCGTCAAGTGGTCGCCATGGAACTTGCTGCAAAACAATACGCCGGCGATACAGCATATGCAAAGCCGGCTGCCAACCGATCGCAAGCTTCGCCACGACTGGCTAGCGGAACGTCAGGGTACTCGATTCGCTGTATTGCATGTCCATACACCCAGCGAACGAGCGCTATACAGATATCTCGCAAGCAAGGTACGACTGGGAGCTCCTCAATCTTCGGATATTCGAGATTACCGAGCTTTGGAACAAGTATGCCAACGGAATAGACATTTTTTACAAAGTATGTCCCGTCTGTGTCACACTGAATGGTGATGTTGAGCTGAAGCGCAATTCTCACACAGATGCCAGAGCACATCAATACATGGGCATCGAGATGGTCGTCGCTGGCAAATGTTCAAGCCACAATGAACATGGTTGGGAACGACGTCAGAGTGATTCAAGCTTTGCTTACCGACCCCTCCCGCGGTCGTGATGTCAGCGTGCTAACGGCTGAGCCATTACTCGGTCACAAACCGCCAGTCTTGGGGAGGCTTACGGAGGTAGAAGTCGATGCCTCGGATCCTCCAACGTCATCTATCCGCCCCTTATTGCAACTGCCTCGAGCGACGCTGGTTCGAGCGCGGGCTTGGGCACGAGCAGCGCTTTGACGCGCGCGGGTACCACAAAAGGGGCAAGGCACTGTCGATTCTGTGGCCAAACTACTTGTCGACGCAAGGGGTCAAAACTAAGCGATGACGGATCGATGACTGGGTGTGACGGGGCGTGCTTGGACTGCGGGAAGCCTTTCGGGCTGACAGACGAGATGGATTCGAACGACTCACAATCACGAAGGTTCTGTAGAGGACTGACAAGGGCTGAGATGAATGGCCGAGCTCGGCATCAAAAGGCACAACTTTGTAGCTGCACAACACCTGAGTAATATGATGTATGCTGTCAAAATGACATGTTCCGTACCACTTCCTCTCTTTCTCCTTTTTCACCTCCCCCTCCCTCTTCTTCTTCTTTCTCCGTCTTTCTCTTCCCCTCCCTCTTCCTTTCCCCCCTTTTTTTTCTTCCCCCCCCCCCCCCTCCCTTTCTTTTTTTTCTCTCTTTTTTTTTCCTTTTTTTTCTTTTCTTTTCTTTTCCTCTCCTCCCACCCACCCCCCGACATGGGTACGGGCCCAGATATCTCAGACTAGGGCTCGGGGGGCGCTCCGCGCCCACCTCCCTGCGTAAATGGAGGTCGTTGCGAGCTCCGCCCGCACCTCCCGGACCGTGGGGGGGGGGGGAAAGAAGATCGGCGCGCGTGCGCGCGCGGCTGAGAACCTTATTTAAGTCGTGCATTCTTTTATGTAGATGTAGACTAGGTTCGGCGGCGCGCTCCGCGCGCCACCTCACACCGTAACCGTTGACTCGCTGAAATGTGATGTACTTTGCTGCAACAGCTGTGCGAATTTTTGGGCGCCAGAATTGCTCGATCTCGGAAGTATTCGACTTTTTCGCCTATCGACGTATTGCCTTTGCCCGTTCCGTTTCGGTCATGCGGTCTGCAGCGGCCAGAAGACGCATGTTTGTCTGCGCTCGCACCGTGGGCTGTTGTTAGTATAGGGTCCAAAAGTCAGGCAAGGACTACTACTTACAGAGAGATCTCCCCAGAAGTCAGCATTCATGATGCAAGCGTCGACGATTTGTGCAGGCGATGACGTGGAATAACGGGAAGGCATTGCTTCGGATTTCCTGTGATGTTACAGTCCAACCGGTCAGTTAGTCATGCTGCCCTGCGTTTTGCTTTTGAAAGATTGGCACACACCTGCCAACACGACGGTCACTCCCCCGAACCGAGTCGTTGAGGATCTGCCACGGGATGGTGAGCCGCAATCCACGGAACCAGAGCCTATTTTTCTGCGTGATTGGTTGATTACAACTGTCAGTATTCTTGCTGTTGTCCATCTGTAGCAATGACAGTGAAGACTCACATCTAGTGTCCCATGGACCCGGATTCTCAACCGTACGAAGTCAATCCTTCCGCTGTATTTTCCCGTGGCCTGCTTCCTTCGCGAGCGTTGTTGTAGAATATGGGGTGCTTGTGGGCATCGATGTCGTTTTCCCAGACAGGCCACGGTGGGTGCCCCCGCTTTTCGGGGATAGGGTCACCTCCTGTCACTGACGATCCAATGTCTGTTGTTCGTATCAGTTTTTCCATCACACCTGCCTGCACAGCCAATGTCACGTGAAACTCACGAATGCAGTCACCAATTGATGGTGGAGGAAAGCAACTCGAGGGTTGACATTCAACGAAGACGTGTTGAAGGGAAATGCTGTTTGGTAGCTTTCCATTAGCTGCTCAATAATCCCACACCTAGAGCACAGTTCATGAAGTTACTTACTCGAAACCGTAGCTACGCTGCATGCTGCAGCCATTCTTGAGAAAATTTGTCCCGTATTCGTTGCAGAGCTTCCACGACGACCCCTTCGGGTGTCGCGAGCTCGAGGCCGGTTTGTCTCGCGCAAAGTTCGGATCGGCCCACCCGTTCGGTATCTGCGGCTAAGGCTGGATGGATGGTTGGTTGACATCATGAACGTATATCAACGGGCTGGTCCCCTAAACGTTTTGCTGTTCGCGTTACTTACTACACGGAGGCTTCCCTGTTGAGGGATCGATCAGTCGACACTCCCCAAGCATTGTGACAACTACCTGAGCCGTGTCCTGGGCCAGGACCGTATTGTGGCAAGTCGATCGAGGTCATCGACTGACAGGGCTGTTCGTTCGCCATCCGCGAGTGGTGTTGGGGCTTCTTTCATGAATGGCGAAGAGATGAGTGGCGATGGGATGAGGTGCGACGGGTAAGGTGTGAAGAGCAGGAGGGAAAAAGATGGAGAAGCCTGCGCCTCAGTTTAAACCGGGCTCATAGAATGTCGCGGAAGGCCGCGGAACGACGTGGAGTGAAGCCCAGTGTCGGCAAGCCGTGACACGCTGGCGGGGCTCCTAACGGCGGAATTGGCGCACTGGCCGACACTACCCGAGGTCTGGAGCTGCTTCAAAGCGTGGACGAACGAATCTCAAGCCCGGAGGTGAGTTGTGCGGAGGAGGGACTCGCGGGCGGCGCGCTCAGCTCGCTCACCTTGCCGACCGTACGTCTCTGCTGCCCCTCTGCTCTCCGTGAAGATGGTCGCACTGGAATCTCCTGTACGTGAATGTTTGCAGATAACTTCGGCAGTGGCAGGAACTGGATGATCGAAGGAACTACGCTACGATGTGGTAGACACGCAAAACAGGTCGTCTCAGTCTGCTTCGGGAAGCGGAGGGTCATGTGTCAGGCTGCTTTGATGGGAAATGGAACCTCGGCGAACGTAGACGAAACGGTCTGTTGCTGGCCGACCCATGATGAAACAGCGCTAGCTAGCTGGGACGCGCTCGACCGAGAGCTGCCTATGACGTCACGCCACGTGGTTTGTCTCGACGACGTTTTTTATTATACAGTTTTAAGGATTAAGGATAAGAATAAGGATAGATCGCACTGGAGTCCGAAGTCTGACTGGTTGCCGCTCAAGCGCATTTGCTCCGTGCGCGATATCAAGTTGTCGATCAAGGTCGACTGTGTTTCTGGTGGTACGGACTTTAACGCGACTGTTAATTCGATCATCAATAACATATATCACCACTGATCATCGAAGCTCGGGGGTCCTGCATTCATTTTCACAAGGTATGACACTTTCTCCCCGAATTAAATGAAGCGGGGCTGTGTATTCAGGTCGTTAGCTTGAAGAAAGAGCCCGCAAAGCTATAGGTTTTGAGCTGAAGAGATTGCGAATGTCATACAAAGTGTTCTATTTATGACGAAGCTGCGTAGTCACTTCGCTTCGGCTATTGTTATCGTTGATTGGCCGCTGGATTAGTTTGAGGCCGCTTTGGTCGAGATGAAGAATCTGCTTCGACATTGTGATACCCACGTCTCTCTGGGGTATTTCAAGGCGTAATACCCAACAGAGCAACCACCCACTGAATGTAATCGTCCGCGATCACTTTCAGGAGAAACTCGAAGCACCCTAGGAACAAGCAAGCTCCGAATCGATCGCATCCGGGAAGACACAGGAGGTAGCGGTCAATGCACCCTCGGTCTCTTGGGGGGGGGTTCATTCCATATAGACTTTTCATTTCGTCCTTTGTTCTCTCTCTCCTTCCAGCCTCAACCTCAGTCCAGAAGCACGATTCTCGCCGAACCGGCAGGAGCTGAGGTTCATTCAGCTCGGGGTGCTCTCGAGTCCAACTACGTCGCTGACGAGATGAACGAGATGACGAGCGTTGCGCATTGCAGATGAACCTGAGGGAAAGTGCGTACAAAGTATAAAACAAGCATAGAAGAGCGAAAAAAAACAGAGACCTCAGAAGGAGGAGGAGGAGAGAAAAGATTCACACTCGGAGTTTGAGATACGATCGTCCCCAATCAACGAAGCAAACCGGGCCATTGTTGGGTCGAACCAGTACGTTGCCGGCGCTGACATCATTGTGGATGATGCCGAGTTCCCTAAAAGCCGCCTCGATCTCCCTGCACCTCCCGTAGAAAAAAGAAGAAAGAATCAGAGGGTCAGGAATCCGCGCGGCCTCTTGACCGGCTTGCACATGGCTGGATCAGTGCGCCGCCCTGCAGGAACTTACCACAATTCGCCCGGTGATCCGTCGAAGTCGAGCTCGTTCATCGTTTTGCCCACATTCTCAAGCACCATGGCGTATCCGTTGCCATTCGTCCTTCGGTAAGTGCCGTAGAATTGCGGGAGATGTTTGCGAAGGTGGTCGGGGAGGTAGGGGAAGACGTGCTGGTAGAATAGCGTCTCTCGGATGACCGAGCCGACGTAACTACACGGCACGAGCTTGAGAAAGTACGTCGTGTTCGGAGCAGGGTGGTCAACTAGAGGCACCTCGGGTTTGGCCGACGAGCACAAAGGTCGGTTGACTCGCACGACGTGCGCAAGCCACCCGCCGGCAGTACTTCCCGTCCCGACCTCCTTCTCCAGACGAAGATCCGCAGCGGGCTCGAACCGATCCAACAGTTGCAGGGGGATTCGATCGTCCTCGAGCTCTTCCCGGGGGTTTTCGGACAGCCACCGCAAAACCACATCGGACAGATGGAGGCCCCGAATAAAATCGCTCGCTGGGGAAGGCTTCGACGGCAGACGGGACGCAAGCGGCGAGTCGGAAGGAACCGAAGAGACAATATCAAAGTCGATCTCGACCAGTTCCACGCGGCTCGTGCCCGTGTACGACTGCGCAAGAGCAGGAAGTAAACGATCCTTTCTGTGAGCTGGGCTACAAGGGCTAGGACGGCAGCAGCATGGCAAAGCGCGTGACGCACCATCATAGACCAGTGCGCGTTCGACAAGCTGGCCTTGATCACGAATTCGCGATCTTCAACGATGGTGATCGATTTCGACGGGAGGCGCGAGCCGGAGAGCGGCGAGGTCGCAGGACTCCAATCCGTCGATGCAGGAGGGGACGAGAAGATGCGAGTGACAGGCGTCAACGGGTCGGATAAGGGATCAGATTGCAACCCTACGGAGATCGGCGGGGTGATGGGTCGATTCGAGTCCTTGGTTTGAGCTCGCGGTGGTTGGCCTGCCAGTCGCGCCGAAGAACGAGCACCGGTGGCTTCGGCCGAAGTCTTCTGGGCTTTTTGGACCCGCGAGGAAGGTTCATAGTTGGGGTCCGAGTCCGGATTGGAGCGAGCTCGAGGCCGATTCGGAGGTTGGCGCCGGGCATCGAGCAGTTTATCGACGACGGCTTGGTCCGGCTTGGGGACTTCGATCACGGCTGTGAAAGCCAGGGCGATGAAGGACACGATGAGTGACCGTCGTGGAAGATCGGTGCCAAGTGTTTCGGCCGCCCCTGGGCTCAAGGTCGTCGGAGAGGGCTCTACCCATCGGACCAGTTCTTGTAGAATCAAGCTGTACCTGGCCTTGAGGGGCGGTGCCGGTGAGTAAGCGGTCGCAGCCGAGATTGAGGCAGACGCCGCCGAGGTCGACGCTACGGAATCGCTTGCCGTTGCAGCATGCGTCGACGGGTGCTGGACTGTGGATGAGCGGCGAATGGCCAAACCAAGGCCGCATGATCGCATGCGTCAGTGGGGCCCGGAAAGTTTCGACAGCTGTTGATGAGTTCAAAGATGCGACGTACCCAGTTCACCAATCTGGAAGAACGGAACCGACAGCAGCAAAAAGAATCGACTATCGCTGGAGACGCATTGGATAATGGCCTACACGAGCATTGAAAAATGAGAAATGGGTAAACACAGAGCCCCAATATTCGAGGCCGGATCGACAAAGTGTATGTCCAAGCCTGCAAGATGCATGCCTCACCTTGGTCGCCACAGCATCTGCACCCTTCGACTTTTCTTCCTCTAGTTTCTGAAGTGGCACTGGGGCCCCGTGGTCGAGGACGGGAATATGCGAGAGGGCGCCCTCCTCGCGTACCTTGGCCAGGCTATGGTGCACGTTATCCCGCTTGTATTCGATCGAGATACTTGAAACGATGTCGCCAGCCCCACGTTCAATGAAGACGATACCATCGCCCTGCGTGCGGAGAGCACTTTCAGGTTCGCCCAGCCAAACCGAGTACCTGGGTCTCGTCGCGGAGGTCGATGCGGAAGCGGAAGAAGCTCCGACGGCCTCGGTGATCGCGGCATAATGGTTGAGCAGCGCCGCCGTTGCAGATTCTAGACCGCCAAATAACAGGCGATGGAACGAGATTTCGACTTCGTGCTCGCTCTTCCGACCCATCCTGCGGCGAGGAGCATTGCTGATGGCGTCTAGCTCCTCGCGGAACAGGTCCAGCAATGAGGGGTGTTGCTCGAGTATATCGAAGAAAGAGCTGAGAACCCTGACGCCAGGAGACGCGGGTGAGCCCCAGTTCAATCCTCCCAGCCAGGCGACGCAATCGTAGGCGGTCGTCCCAGCATCGGCTTGAACGCGCGAGGCAGTTGAGTGACACGCTCTATCGTGGTGCGGTGGCGGGAGAAACCAACTGGATGGAGCACAACTACCAAGGAGTTGGGTGAGCGTTGGTGGCCGAGAGTTGGTGGAAACAATTGGCGTCGCTTCGTTGGAAGAAGCCATACAGAGCGAGATGCTGGAGGTGATGAGGCCCCACTGCACGTGCACGGCGGGAGGTGAAGAGGGCCCGGTGCCGCACTTTAGCCATTTGGACCTCCAAATTCGAGAACATCTTGCGCCGCTGCACGGATCGCGCAAGCGGACGCCACGACCTACAAAACGTTGAGAGTACTCCTAGCATACCCTATTGACTACGTAGAATGTACTCCGACTTGTACCTCTGATCGTGTGCGAGTTTGACGACGCGGGCGACGATGAGGTCGAACACGTGAGTCGGCGGGCACCAACTGAGCAATGAGCAAGTGCTAAAGTACCTTAGAGTCGGTATATTCATCGCCGCGGTGGTTCGATGTCTCAGGCGCCTGTAACACCAACGATCGTATCTGCTCGAGCGGGATGAAAGCAAGAGAGACTGAGGGGAGGAAGGGCCGGCCCGGAACGAAACTTCTTGGGTGCCAGGTTCGTGACGCTGAACTCTCATTCCAAAGTCGAAAGGGTCCAACCAGAACGCACACATGACTTCGCTGTTCCACAGTGGTGTGATACTTCTAAGGGATAGCCTTCGGGATTAGGTACTCGTCTGGCCTCCTAAATGCGGGGTCGACTAATATGGAAGGTATTGCACGTAATGCTTTTCGAGCTCGACCCCCGGGATATTCGATTCCACCGTCATGACTGCTGCTCATAATAACCGTAATTTTTTGGCAAGCAGAAGCGTATGAAGACTATCAGCGACTTGTGCGAACCGGTACACAAAGAATCAGTATTTGAGAAGTCTATCATGCGATCCCGAGGCGGCTCATTGCATCGGCGATGACGTGCTCGGGCGAGTGGCTGTCGTCTTGGGGCAGGACGCTAAGGCCCAACTCGATGTGACGACGCTCGCACAGCTGGCGAAGGGGATCCCAATGCGATTTGAGGAGGAACTGATAGTGTTCCACCGCGCCAAAAGGGATCACGAGTGGAAACACGGACGCGTAGTCGGGGTTCAGAAGCAGGTTGTACAAGACCGCACTGACGACCATTACTTGCTCGATCTTCAACACCTCGAGCCGAGCGAGCGACGGCAACGCGAGCATCTCGACAGCTTCTTTCGCCGACCTTACCGAGACGTACTTTTCCCTCGTCTGAACTCGCACTTGGATCGTGAGCCGACGGAGTGGGATCGAAGCTGGGATGCTGGCGACGATCGATTTGAACGAAGTGTTGCCAAAGGCCAGAACGAGCATGTCCAAGGCTTGGCAATGCGACAATCCACGGCGCAAGATGTGGGCAAGATTCTCGGTTTGGATCGAATTGAGATCCGCGAGGCAGCCCAATGTTAAACGGGTGAGATGAGCGCCGTTGGCCGAGAAGAAGCGCCGGAGAGGTGCATCCAGTGCGTCTCGAGCAAGATCTTTTTCGATAAAGGTGATCCAGACCGATTCGAGCGCCGGAGTGTCGAACCGATTGAACATGAGCTTGAGTATCGCGGCGCTGACGGGCTCGACGAATGACCATTCGAGCAGATTCGGCAAGACGAGCCGCGTCGCGGGCAACGAGCGAGGTCTGCGGCGAAGTGCCGGCCCACCCGTCACCTCAAATTCTACAAGCTCTGGTAGTCAAGAAAACGAGTCCGATCGGAAGAAACGGCTCAAAAGCGAACCTAGAATCAGTTTGGGTTCAGGGTATGTGGAGCGTCGCGCACTCGCCTTTCAGATTGTCGGCCATTTCCTGATCAAACTCGAGGTAGCACGGACCACCCCGAATGGCCTTGAGGCGCTCAACGCTGCAAATGACGGCTTTGCAAGTGCCGCAGATCGTATCGCGATGCGCGTGGGAGTCGAATCGCGAATCGCGCACCTTGATCGCCCAGGTCCTGTCTTGTTTGGGTTTGTACTTAGGATCGAGGGGCTGCAGTTCGAGGACGAGAAGAGTGGCCGAAAAGCGGTTCCTAACCGGCGCCTCATTCGATTCGAGGAACAACATGGCCACTGAATGATTGGGTATGCTCCCGCGGAGAACTATGTGGCGGTAGGAGTGATCTTCCCATGCTCTACAAACACGTGCAAAAGACCCAATGGCAGCGCACTTCTCATCGGGTGTGAGCTCGTAGAGGTGCGCAACGATGCGGTTGAACACGTGGGCAGGTATCGACTGGGCGAGTGAGTACCTTCGGGTCGTCGTACTCGTCGCCATGGTGATTAGACTGGGCAGAAGAGATGGGAGTTTGCAGGATAGCGATAAAAGGGAGAGCAAGTGAAATGAGAGAGGGGAAGGACGTGTCGAGTTTGCGACGGCCGCCCCCGACGACGCGATTCCCCCCCCCCCCCCCCCCCCCGGGGCATTGACCGCCACCTCCTGTGTCTTCCCGGATGCGATCGATTCGGTGCTTGCTTGTCCCTAGGGTGCTTCGAGTTTCTCCTGAAAGTGATCGCGGACAATTATATTCAGTGGATGGTTGCTCTGTTGGGTATTACGCCTTGAAAAATACCCAAGAGAAACGTGGGTATCACTATGTCGAAGCAGATTCTTCATCTCGACCAAAGCGGCGGCCTCAAAACTAATCCAGCGGCCAATCAACGATAACAATAGCCGAAGCGAAGTGACTACGCAGCTTCGTCATAAATAAAACACTTTTTATGACATTCGCAACCTCTTCAGCTCAAAACCTATAGCTTTGCTGACTCTTTCTTCAAGCTAACGACCTGAATACACAACCCCGCTTCATTTAATTCGGGAAGAAAGTGTCGTACCATGTGAAAATGAATGCAGGGCCCCCGAGCTTCGATGATCAGTGGCGATATGTGTTATTGATGATCGAATTGACAGTCGCGTTAAAGTCCGTACCACCAGAAACACAGTCGACCTTGATCGACAACTTGATATCGCGCACGGAGCAAATGCGCTTGAGCGGCAACCAGTCAGACTTCGGACTCCAGTGCGATCTGAGCTTGAATAGCCCGCTTCTGGTGTCGCGTCTGGAGCCGCAACTCACCAAGCTCGGTCACAGCGAAAAAGGTAACCGGCCAGAACAGGCCGAACGGCCCGTTCACCGCGCTTTGGATACGCAGCGTCCTCTGAAAAAACGAGTCATCTCACCAGCGTCAGCATCAGCTTCAACTTCTGACTCGGGCCACAGAGTCCCTTACCTTGACCTTCAATGTCAATTCATCGTCCACGTTCACGATTCGACCGAAACCGCGTTTGACGAGTCGAATGCCGAGAGCGTCGAGATGCAAATCCCCACTCCGAGAGCCTTGCTCAATGATCGACTCGAGCGACGCTTGCGTTGATGTTGCGTCCAATGAGAGTGCCCAACGGATCATCGAATGTAGTGTGGAGGCTCGACGCACTCCTACGATCCCCCCTTTGATCCATTGTCGGGCGCGGCTTTCTGACACTCTACTATAACACTCGGAGGGTTTCCGCAGAGAACCCTGGTGAGGGACGGACGAACGCGCTGAGCTGGAGCATCGACTCGATAGGATAAGCATCGCGGCTTTCCTCGGATACACGTAGTCGTCGAGACAGCCTTGCATACGACCTTGCGTTTTCGGTCGGAGGGGCGTGCTCGATTAGGTGGATACTCGCTCAAGCGCTCGCTGTAGACCTCGACTCGGAGGCTCGCGCCGTGACTCGATCGAGCAGGGTTGGATCCCGAATGGCGGTCTCAAGATGCAGATCCTCTCCTCCGGCCATGCGGCAGAAAGTGAAATTATCCATATCCCACCACGGTTTCATCAGTGGATTCGTTTGATGGAGCGAGCGACTGTGCGCGGATCGGCCGGGTTGGGATGTGGGACAGCACGGAGCTCGAGAATGTCTTGGAGGCTGGAGCGTAGCCAGAGGGGTTGTCGTTCGCGTCACGAAGGGCACTGCATGAGTTGACATCTCTAGGGGTGAGTTGTAATGGGGCAGCTGTTCTGAGCGGGGTCGGTGATGGCCCGACCGCAGACAGTGGCGTGCGATCTGGAGATTCGGGAGGCGTGACCATCCATCCAGACGTGGCGAAGCAAGGGGTCATCTCGTGTCAATTGAGCATTCGTGAGTGCAACTGGCGTTGAACGGCTCGAGAGGAGGCGTTAGACCATCGGGAGGGGGGAAGTCAAGGTCGCTCTTGGCAAGTCCGATCGTAGCATGACATGCATGACAAGCGAAGCGCGCAGGACTTTCTGGCATGGGACTTTTGGTCCGATAGAGTCACTCGATATCCTAGCGCCCAGTGAACCGCGTACGATGAAGCACCTTAGCTAGTACCCACTCTGATGGGTTCTTAATGTCGGCGTCATCAAGTACGTAAGTAGACAAGTGCACTCTCTGAAGATTTGGACTACACCTGCCCCATCCACAGCTGAGAAAACGGCGTTCGCTTTTTCCTTGTCGATCGCGGGACGAGATTTTCCGGTGAAAACCATGCGCCATGAGCTGGTATAAATGTCTGCCTCACCGTTCCTCCCCGCCCTGAAGTCAGTATAAAAATCAAGAAGCAAATGTGCAGATTGAAATTGCAGAATCCACGATTAGCGGCAGTTACTGGGCAGGCGGGTTGAAGCTTCGAGAAACAGTCGGAGAAAAATCGTCGGAATCACATTCAAGTGAAGCTGAGTGAGGTCGACTCCAGCACCTCGGACGTTGATGATTGGAGGGCGATAGACTTGTCTTGAGCTGTGGGTAGGTTTCGGATCGAGCAGTGGTTCGTAGAGGGATGTGCCTGCCGGTGCTTGCTAGAGCGTGTCTGAGCGCCACTAACCCGACGGACGCGAAGTAGCACGAAGAGGCAGGAAGGGGCTGGAAGGGGCTGTGAAGAGGAGTGAAGAGGCGCGAAGTGGCGCGAAGTTCGTCCACCACGGCCTACCACGGCGCCCGGATGCGCACGCTCAGGCTCTTACCAGTCTCTTGCCTCCGCCTCGTCTACAACCTCGTCCTCGTCCTCGTCCTCGTCCTCAGGCGCAACGAACTCGGTCACGTTATCGAGTTAGAGCGCTTGTAGTCTTGACGCAGCTTCTACATCCACGCCCCCCCCCCCCCAGCTGCCTTCGTACGACCAGGCTTGCAGCCGGGAGGGACGCGCTCTCTGCTGCTGGCCAGGACAGCGACTGCAGCAGCCCCAAGCCCGCCAGGAACGCGACCGCAAACTCGGCGTCGGGCCCTCTACCTCGGTATCGCACTCGTCGAGCCACTCGGCCCTGGTACGAGCGCACCGGGAGGCGGCTACGGGAGAGCGAGTAGCAGCCTATAGCGCCGAGGGGAGGGGATCTCCAAGGCGCCAGCCGGAGCTCAACTTACACCTGAGGAGCTTGCAACAAGATCTGGCCCAAGGAGCACACCATTGCCACCAAGAATCCGCTGGGCGAGGTCATAGCAGGTGTCATCAACACTGTGAGTCGACGCCTGGGCTACTCGATCGCTTGGCAGCGTGAGCGTGCGTAGTTTATTTAGAGCTGACTCGCCTTTCCAATGTCGTTTTTCACTGCTGGCATTCTCCTTGCGGTCAGGGGCAACGCTGATGTAATGGGGCGAGTTCCTGCCTGGCGACCGAGCAGTCAGTCGCCGTCGGTCGCCAGGCAAGAACTCGCCCCAGTGCATCAGCGTCGCCCCTGACCGCGGGAAGACGGCCGAGACGGCCGAGACGACGGCCGACGTCGTGCTCCTGACCCGCGCTGGGGTCGCGCACGACCCAATCCTCCCGGATGCATGGACCTTTCCCAGTCACCCCGTTCCCCAAGCCGACGTCGATGCGGACACCGACACCATCGTGATACTTCAACGCAAACGAAAACGGCAATGGCCAGCATCAGAACGATGAGGCCGAGGCCGAGGACGCCGAGGACAACGGGTGCGATCAGCACGACGAGGACGTGGCCAAGGTGGACCTGCTATGGGCCAAACGCTCCTTCACGCACGTGGCTGCTGTGGGCGAGACCAAAGCGGGCAAGGAGTCCAGGGCTACGGACGTGTTGGTCGGACGATTGTCCGGTGGCGGTCGTCGAGCGAGGTCGTGGTCGCAAGAACGCCGTTTAGCCGATCACTGTGTTTGATGAGACGGTATAAAAAGGTCGACAGCTCTCCATTCTCTTTGGTGATCGTTCTGGAGTTGGTAAAGAACACCCCGCAAGCAGCCATGACGTAAAATTTTAGACGGTTGTACTGCAGGGTGAACCCGATCGCATGTTCCCAAATCGGCGTCGCGAGGAGTGCCGACAACCGTCTGAACAAATGGCCCTCGTCCCTGGAGTTGCCTGCTTTGGCTTTGGTCTCGTCGACGGCGGCCACGTGCGTGAAGGAGCGTTTGGCCCGGTTCACTTGGCCTTGTCCTCGTCGTACTTGTCGGGCCAGCCGGTCCTTCACGCACGTGGCTGCCATGGGCGAGATCAAAGCGGGCAAGGAGTCCACGGCTAAGGACGTGTTTTTCGGACGGTTATCGGCACTCCTCGCGACGCCGATCCGAGAGTGTGCGATCGGATTCACGCCGCGCGGCGACCGTCGCAAAGTCTACGTCATGACTGCTTGCGGCGTGTTCGTCACCAACCTCACAACGGTCACCAAAGAAACGGAGAGTTGTCGACCTTTCTGTACCGTCTGATCAAGCACAGTAATCGTCCTAACGGCGGTCTCGCCACCACGACCTCGCTCGACGATCGCCACGGCCCGTTCACGCTCTGACATTGAAGAACAAAATGCCAGGCTGTGTTCAGATAGTCGTCTTGACGAATGAGGTGTGTGAGTAGAAGCTGCATGACAATGCAATTGTTTCGTTTGTCAAAGGTCAAACTCTTGAGCTGCTTGCGTTTCTGAGTCCTTCCATCAGAAACAAATGCCTATAAGTTGGCGGAATTCCATGAATCAGAAAATTGATGAGAAGAAGCTGCGACCAGAATTTCGGACTTTGAAGAAAAAATCTCAGAAGCTAGCAGTGAAGTGGAGGTCAGGTGGTGTGGTCTTTGCGTGGCCAAGGGCGAGCCAGCTGGCGAAGCACCTATCCAGGGGTGCTCTGATCTCTAGCAAAAGAAAATGCTGATTCTAGGTCTAGTAAAAGCTAATGATTTTACTTGGAGAAACAAATTACTATCGGAATATTTCAATAATCTCAACTCGGCAACATCAGCTCTATGCTCGGTAGAAAAAGACCGCCATCACTCTCGGTGATGAATAGTCCGCGGCCGATCATGTCTACCAGTTCGGGCGGCAACGATTGAGCTCGCGAGGGTAACGACGACGCGGCCATGTGTATTGCAGAAATGTTCTAGAGTGGTAACTGATGATGACCACGACTCAGTCCAATGAACAGGGACGAGAACAGAGTGAGGTAAGATTCCAAAGAGCTGACCTGAGAGACTAGTAAGGTAGGGAGATTGAGTGATTAAGGAGATAATGACACGCCGCTAGGCTCAATCCCAAGTACCATAATAGGAACAATATTCAGATGAAGGACGGGACAACCCAAACGACCATATACGAATGACACTCCCCCGGTTGGAAGGTCCAAAGAAGAAGTGACTAGGTACACGGGTGACAGTAATGATGAGGTGAAGACGAGGTTGAACGTGGCTTGAGGTTGAAAGATGAGGGACGGTGGACCAAAGCGAAGGGCGCTGGGTAAGACCGAAGACGGGAGACGATAGACCGGAGTACGCCGGGGAATATCGTTGAAGAGAGGCGATGGGTTGGTGTACGAAGCCAACAGGATCGCAGACGAGACGATGGACCTGGGTACGCCGGGGAACAATCGTAAAAAGAAAGGCGATGGATCGATGTACAAAGACGATATGATCGCAGACGGTAAAAAAACGGTGGACTGAGTCGTGGTCATCATCAGTTACCACTCGAGAACATTTCTGCAATAGGTTGTGAGCCCATCAAGCTACCAAGCCGCTCCGGAGGAAGCGACGGATACGACGTCTTACAAGATCTATCTATCGAACACTCCAAACTCGTACGAGGAATGGTCGATTTGGATATCGAACAATCTTCGCCTCGATGATCTCTTGGACCTCACCACATTGGGCATTCCAGCTGTTCTAGAGATTTTCGAAGCCGGCCTGCTCACGCCCCCGGCTACTTCGCAACCGTCAACATCTGGCGCCGGTGAAAAGGTGACATCCAAGAGATCATCGAGGCGAAGATTGTTCGATATCCAAATCGACCATTCCTCGTGGCGATCAACCTCAAAGTCCCGCGTCGGTAAATGCATGACGGTGGAGGAGGCGATCGAGGCGGCACGAAGGGACTGGCAAAACCGCATGCAAGTCATGGAGGTTGACGAGGCAAGGTTATCGAGGCGAAATCATCACGGTCCCCCGTGCCCCCGCTGACGAGCACGTGACTTTTGGCCCCTTCGATAGTCCGCGTCCAGCGACGATGACGGCAAGATGGACGTCGATGACGACGGCGATGATGAGGAGCATCAAAAGGGCGACGAGGACAACGATGAAGCTGGTGATGAGGACGGCGGCGGCAGCGGCGGCAGCGGCGGCAGCGGCGGCAGCGGCGGCAGCGGCGGCAGCGGCGGCAGCGGCGGCGAGGACCATGACGACGACGGCGGCGGGGACCATGACGGCGGCGAGGACGACAACAGCCATGACAGCACCAGACAGAACGACAGAGAGAGCGAAGAGAATGACGAAGAGAACGATCACGATCAGGGCGGGGCTGCGAGTGACGAGTCGAGGGTGCCCGCACCAGCCTTCGCTGAAGTGGCCATCTCCTGGAATACAGGGCAGGAAGCCTGCTGCGCCTTGATTGAGGCGCCACAGAGCGAATGCTTTGACGCCACCAAACTACCGAAGTCGTTTTCAACGCTGGAAACGCGGGTCAAGGCGAATTTGCGCATGTGCGTCATACGGCGCCACGTCGTCCCGCGGAAAGCGTCCAAGACGACGATTGCCAAGACCGGTTCGAAGGCGAATCGCACCACAACATCGGCGTACACCCTAAGCTTGAAGGAACAGATTGATCTTCCAATTCTGGGAAAACCCGCCCTACTCGGGAGCGGCCTCGGCGACTTCGCAGAAGTGCGGACGAACCTACGGGAGGGCGACGTCTGGCGCGAAAGCGTGGTGGCAGGTCGCGCGGCCTACCCTATGGAGGCAACAAACGGTGAGTGATCGAGGATGACACGACGAGGAAGAACAACATCGGGTGCCGGAAGCGTGTGAATAGGTGTCATGATGGGTGACCGGACGATAGCGAAAGCGACGGAGGGGCGGACAAGCGCAAGAGACTGCAAGAGACAGCACGAGAGCTAGCCGAGGCCGAACGATGCCGAACGAGGCCGAACGCAGCCGAACGCTAGCGGCCTCTAGGGCGGCGGCACTCTGCGGCACACGGCGGGAGAGGGCGATGCGATGCTCCACTGCCGCATCCGCATGGGGCCTCGTACCGTTTCAGTAGTATACTTGCACATACTTTGAGCAATAGTAACATGCTCGTCTACTCTACCTTGCGCAATTGGCCCTCTCACACAAGTTCTATGCCCTTGTCCTTATTGACCGTTGGGCATGGTTCGATCCCACGAGGATTTGAACCGCATTTGGGATCGATCCCGCGAGGATTCGAAGCGCATTTGGGATCGATCCCGCGCCGATTTTAAGCGCATTTCAATTCGGCGCACGGATTTCAAATGCGTTTCAAATCGGCGCACGCGATCCCAAATGCATTTCAAATCGCTGTGCCGATTTCAAATGCATTTCAAATCACCGCGCCGATTTCAAATGCATTTCAAATCGCTGCACCGATTTCAAATCGGGGGCCCGATCCCGGGATCATCCCATTTCAGGGGGGGTTTTTTGCTATGTCAGATAGCCAAGTTTGATGGCGTTCAGCAGTCAGAACGCCAGTTCTGGTGCTGAATTCGATACAAGAACATTCCATTCAGGCCCTTCCCGGAAGGACCACATCGGAGGCCACAAGAAAATGCGGCAGAAAAATCCGAAGGTTCTCAGACACACACATATGAGCTCAAAAAACCACGTGGTATTGCATCAAGGCGCACATACGGAAATATTTGCACATCGAAAATGCAGGGAAAGGAGGAAACATCGCTAGGCGGTTGGGCAAAGAGTCGAGGTGGTCCTTCGTTCCCAATCTCGAGGCGAGCCGGCCGGGTGCTAGGTCACCCACAAGAGTTCGGATGGTTGGAGAAGCATCCCCGCACACGGCATCGGCAAATATCGAGTCTTGGGTGGCGGAAGCAGCAGCGGCAAAGATGATAGCCTGCATACTCGTCGACAAGCGATCTGTCGCACCGAGTTGAGTTGTGAGGTCGGGCCCATGGAGAGGAGATCAGCGTCGAGCAGAGCAAGTCCTGCCGAAAAAGTCTGGATCCTCAAGTGGAGAGGCGACGACCATTCTTCTGGGAGATGGACTGGAAACGGTTCCGAGCGGTTCCGAGTCCAAAAAGTCGAGTTGAGCGCAGGCGGAAATCCAAGACCTGGTGGAGCAAATCAACCGTCAAACATGAGTGATAGTGCACACACTTGCAACACGAGGTGTGGAGAAAAGAAAGCATTTCAGGTTGAAGGCATGCACTGACCTTGCAGACGTTTGAGCGCTTAGTGACTTCCAAACGACGTTGTCGACACACGCGAGGTGAATGATGAACAAGCGAGGCGAGACGGGATGGAGCACTGTGCGTCGCTGAGCGTTGTCCACGACCAAATGACCAGAGTCTGTACGAACGTGCATGTCGCAGAGGTGGGATGGCGATCGCACATGTCCAGCTGGCCGAGCAAATCGCCGAGGTCGATTGAGAGTGCGAAGGATTGTCACCGAATTCGAGCGCCGAGTGGCCCGAAGAAGCCCCGAGTCCTGGCTGTACGGATCAGCGTGCGCGACGTAGGACGGTGTTCGAGTAAGATTTGAACTGATGAGGAGGCGTTCCGTGGGAAGTCTTGAGAGCTTTGCCAGCGAGTCGATTGGTCGGTGCGATCGACGAGGTAGAAACCCAGCGTGCAAGTCCGGTCAACTTGAACGGCAAGGAGACGAGCGGGAATGTGGGATGTTGGGGTGCCATGGTATGAAACGTAGACGGCCTGTGTTGCCTTGGCGAGCTGAATGACGAGAGCGGGCGATGGAGCCATTTGCACGCAGCGGGTCCAAAACTGCTGGGCGAGCAAGGATCTACGGCGGACCTCCGTGGCAAGAAGGCCGAAACGAGTCTGCGTGCTGGGACCTTGTCGCAAGAGAAACCGAGAGATGGTAATGCACGAAATCGGATGTGGGCCATGCGAGCATGTGAGCGAACCGGTGCGAAGGTCCATTCGAGGGGGCGTTCCCATTCCAGGTCTTCCGTGACCAACGATCTGCAGTACGCGGTGGCACAGAATATCTTCGTCTCATCAGCAAGGAATGCAAGTAGCAAGTGAGAGCTAAGATCGAAACAGCTCACGGTGAGCGGTCTGGGCGAGTCGTCCGCGGTCGAGCAGTTCCGGTCGCGATGGCCCAAGTGAGCAATCGACATAGCCAGGACGTATATGTAGATACCTTCGAGTTGGTCGTCGAGTGGTTGTGATGGTGACAGTGTTGCAGTTGCTGAATGGGTTCCGCTTGCCTTAGCCAGTTCCGGGTGACACATCAAGTGCCGGGTCGAGTAAGGTCGAGCCGCATATACCGAGCAAGTGACGTCTCCCCATGACGGCAAAGTGTTGCGTCGTTGTGCCTGCATGCAGTGAAAGAAAGTCGAGTCGAGTCGAGTGGTACGAGGATCGGCGAATGTCGAGTCTTGGGTGGCCGAGGCAGCAGCGGCAAAGATACGAGCTGGCACCATCGTCGAATCGCACCGAGTTGAGTTTGGAGGTCAGGGCCGATCGAGAGGAGATCGAGGTCCATCCATGAGAGCTAGAAATGGTTTCGAACGAGTCAGAGTTTAAAGAGACGAGTTAGGCGCAGGCCGGAACGAGAACCTGGCGGAGCGAAAGAAGAGTCAAACATAAGCAAAAGGGCACAGACTTGCAACACGCAGTGTTAAAAAAGTTAAGGATGTCAGGTTGAAGGGCCGCACTGACCTTCGGACGTTTGCTCGCTTTGTGACTGCCAAACGAGTTCGTCGCTACCAAGCGAGGTGAGTGCAAGAAGCAAAGCGGAGCGCGAGGAGATGGAGCACCATGCGATGCTGATCGCACTCCATGACCGCATGACCAGGACTGCTGAAACGGGTACGAACGTGCATCTTGCAGAGGTGGGATGGTGATCGCACGAATAAAGCTAGTTGAGCGAGTCGCCGAGTTGGATTGAGAATGCGACGGTCCGAGGCCAAAATCAAGCGGCGAGTGGTCCGGAGAAGCCCGACTCGGGACTTTATGTTTCAACGTGCGCAACGTAGGATGGAGTTCGAGTGAGTGGCAAAGCAATGAGGAGTGTGCCGTGGAACGTCTCGAGAGTTTTGCTGGGAAATTGACCGGTCGGAGTGATCGACGAGGTTGAAAGCCAGTGTGCAAGGACGGTCAAGATGTTTGCAACGACGAGTCGGGACATAGACGGTCTGTGATTTTGGGTGGATGACTCGATGAGCTGGATGAGGTGCGCGGGAGGTTGAGTGAATCGCGGCGGGGTCGAGACGGGGCGAAAGTGCTTGAGCCGATGAAGGTCTCGGTCTGGACATCGACGAAATCAGTCGAGTCATGAGATGCTCCGACAGCTCCCGAGCTTGCCGCGTCGATGAGACCCGTCGATTCGATCAAGAAAGAGACGTGAGGGATTGCATTCGTGTGATGGGTTGACGTTACGATGTGGGGGTGGCGGAGGAGATCGGCACAGGTCGACAGTGGTGTTCGAGGTGGGGCGACGAGAATCAAGTGATGTGTGCATCGATGCGAGACCTCAGCAAAGTTGAGCGCCTCTTCGATGGTGCTGAGGAGGGATGCGCAGAGTATGGTCCTACAAGTGACAGACCGGTTCGGTGCGAAGCTCGGATGCCAGCGAGTCGGCAAACACGCGATCTGAACTAAAGTGATGAGCAGCAAAGACGAGCATGAGGTGAGCGAATGGAACGAGAGCTGAGGACTATCTGAATGAAGGGCTCACCACACTCATCCGTCGACTAGCGAGTGGGCGTTCGGTGTGATCGAGGCGATCGGGTGACCGAGCACGTGTGCGACCGAGAACACTCGAGCGATGCATCGATGTAGTTAGGACGCAGCTGAAAGTGACCACGCCCTTTCAGATCAGCCTGTTCAGCGTATCTTGCTGAAGATGACGATGTTGGAGTCGTTGATAGTCTCGTCGTGCGACGTCGCACCGTGCCCGACTCAGTCGGCTTGAGGTGACACGTTGCGCCGAAGTTGAGAGAGATCGAGTTGCATCTTGCAGATTACATGGTGCATCGGAACGATGAGAAAGCATGTGACATCGAGTTGTGGCGTGGTGCGATCGGTGCCGAGTCCGAGTCGAGTCAGGCGGTGCGAGTGGTGCGAGTGAGTGGGGGGAGGGAAAGGGGCGTTGGCGCGCGAACGTGAAGTCAAGCCAATCAGCTAACCGCGCAAGATCCCGAAGCTCGGCGCACTCGGCCGTGAGATCGGTCTCCGATTGGCGCAGGTCCAGTCAACCTTTAAAAGCGTATATCTTCTTGAAACTCGAAAAGGGGTGCGAGAAAGCTTCAAAGCTAGAGAGAGCGAGTAATTCCGAGGTCAGCGCTTGGCGGCGGGAGTCGTTGCAGTGAACGAGTGAGTCGGCCGGCGTCCGCGGCGAAAACTTGGTCGATTCGTCCAGGTCACTGAGCATGCTTGTACAATTGACATTCCTTTACTGAAGGGCTGTTCTTCGCATGTAGATGAGCTATGTCGGAAGATTTGAGGAAAAGACATCGTATTCGGGAGCACATTTTTGATCCGAGTACGGGCGAGATCATCGCGCGATGGTTGACGAGACTCCGAGTCAGAGTCAGCCGCCGGGCGTGTCCCTGGACGCATGTCTCACTGGCAGTCTCTCGCAGACCGCACTACTGTGAGATGAATGAAGAGATAATCATTTCTGGTAGCTTGAACAGAGAGTGATATTAGGCTTTCTTTAATAGAACGTTGGTGAAAAGATGATGCGGTCGGCACTTTGTTTGCGCACAAGTTCGGTCACCCGCCTTCGAAGATGATTGCAATGCTCTGTGAGGTCGATCTGACGCCTTTTTCTTCCGTGAAAAGGCTTTCGTTTGCAAAAGTACAGGGAAATGATGATGGCGCGGAGAAGATCGTCCACTTAGCACTGTCGGCGAAAAGGGGCTCGATCGTCCGGCGTTCATGACTTGCACTATACATGGCCTTTGACGGGCAAAATCACCACTCGAAGATAATTCCTACGTGCCGCCTTCGAGCGTCGCAAAAGTGCGTTTCGGCAATGCACGAGCAATTGCTCGTGCACTTCGATTTGACGGTTTTGCCCCCTTGGCGCCTTCGAACGTCGCAAAAGTGCATTTCGGCAATGCACGGGCAATTCCCCCTGCACTGCCACTTTTCATTTTCACTGGGGATTTGGGGTTCTATTCCAAAACGTAACCAAGAATTGGGCTGTACCCCACCTATGATACCTATATACTGTATGATCCAACGTGTGCACCGTAGGATCGAGACGAGTAAGATATGAAGCAATGAGGTGGTGTTGTGTGGCCAATCTCGAGAGGTCAGTGAGATCAAAGACAGGATTTTTGATGCGGGGCTATGAGTTTCATTTCGTTGGTTCAACGCCACGCGTTTTGATACATGGGACAGGACAACAAACCTGATATATTTCCAAAAACAACACTCCTATGAGCAAAACGTGAATGATGTAAGGGCCCTCCCAGATTACAACTTAGGCCAGAAACTCTGCACAGTCGAGCCGAATGAAGGCACCGCTGGCGCAGTCCTATTTCCAGCCTGGAATTATACTGGAACGGACGGAAAATGACCTTGGGTATCTATTGCAATAATCGGAACTAACAACGAGCAACTATATTCAAGCCCAGCGCAAAGTTGGTCACTTCAGAGCAAGGAAGCAGCTGCTCAATGTCCGAGATGATGGACTCGTGCGACATCGCCTTGGATGGACCCCACAACTCCCCCAGTTGGGCTTCTTCCTTCGCCACCTCGAGACCAAGGAACCGGCTATCGAGGCCACAATTGCGTCTCAAGATGTCAAGGAGTAGGCGGATGTTTGTCCATCGATGTGCGCAGCCTTGGAGTACAGATCGGTATGCCGGATCCATGCGAAGCACAACTTTGGAGTTATAGACTCTGTGCGCAAATCGTTGGTTCCAGTCCTCCCAGATAGTCTGACCCTTTGGTGTCATGACAGGCTCTTCATTGTTGCCCTGGTACGGCTCGCGAAACGAAATTTCCATCACGACGTAGAAGAGCGACTCGATGTCGTGCCACCGTTCGTGGACGACACCGAGCGGCTCGTTCGGTTGAGCGAGGATCGAGCAGGCGAGGTAGGGCCAGGTGCCCTGTAAGAAGTCGTATAGTCCAAACGTTAGTGCTGGTCAGAAAGTTCATTTGGGGGAACATACAGAGGGGAGGACGCACGGATCGTATTCTGTGGTGCAGCTCGGTGCAAAGTCGATCATGCGGGACGGCGAGGTGATAATCGATGAGGGCGCCGACACCGTCGCGGTCGATGACGGCGTTACCGTACGAAATATCCCGGTGGATATACCCCAGCTTGTAGAGGTTTCGGTGTCCTGCATTGTCATGGGAAGGGGCGTGTCGGCTAGGGAGCGCAAACGCAAGGCCGCCCAGTTGATCCCTGTGCTCACCTTTGACGACTCCAAGTACGGCCTGGGCGAGTTCCCTGGTCGTGGTCGCCGTGTTCAGGGGCCGATAACACTGTCGGTGGAAGACCACCTCCAGTGCCCGGGGCCCGATACCATCGAAACTTTCATCGTCGCCGAAGAAGGTCGGAAGCGTGCGGAAGTCGTCACGGTAGATGCCGGCGCTAAGGCTTAAACCCTCGGTGTCGATACGCGACGCAGCGTGCATGTTGTGACGTAGGGCAATCGCATCGTCGAGGCGGGATTGCTCAACCCATGCGACTGTCATGGCGTACTCGGTGGCAGGTGTAGGCAAGGTGATCGACGTGCGGTCGACAGGCGCGTGTCGCGCGGTGACGCGGAAAGCGGAGGTGGCGCGACCCAGGCAGCTTCGGCGACGGAAGAGGAGCTCCTGGATCTCGAGATCTGAGATATCGCCGAGCTCGGACTCGAAGTCGTGGGCGCGGGGTGGGAGAAACTTGTCCGAGACGACAAAACTGCCGAAACCGTCGTCGACCTCGTTCGTCGAGGCCAGCATCCCGAGCTCGTTGTCGTCGAGTTCGATGAGGTGTGACAGCACGCGCCGGAGCAGCACGGCTCCCTGACCGCACTCGCGGGCGCTCGTCGTGAACACCCCACACGCGTTGACGAGGTAGACTTGAAGCACGTCCCCGCAAAGGGTGACCCCGATCGCGTGGGCGCGGAGCGCGGTCGTGCAGATCATGTGTAGCCGCCTGATCACTTGGTTACGCGCTTCTGCGCTCCTCTTGTCGCTCTTCTTCACCTCAATCGCCACTGCAATCTGCGAGTATGCGCGTTGAGGCGACGAGGGCGTGCCTTCCATCGACGTTGGGTGCTCTGACTGCGCCCAAACGAACGGAAGATCGGGGGCAGCGGCCACCGCCGCATGCGTGAGGATGACGGCGTCGGGCGTGTTCTCCTGCTCCCCGCGATCGGGCGCCAGCTTGATGGGGCTACCCGAGTTGCCGCATCCGACCAGACGTCGATCACCAGTCTACACCCGGGTGCATCAATGATCGGGAGACAGTGGTCAGTCATACTCGTGCGGTCGAAGCCAAGCGATAGCACCGGGGCACTCACCACATCCTTGATCGCGTCAGCCATCTGTTTCATTGCAGCCTCCGTCCCCAGTTTCTCCGTCGGTTTGGGGATCTTGGCTTCGTAGGTGGAAGGCGTGTCAAAAAAATATGTGTCCATCGCCTTTGACTGTCGAGGTTTGCCCATATGGGCGAAGAGCTGGTGCTCCCTCGCTTCCGCCGTGGCCGTCATCGACACTGAGGGGCTCGACTTCATCGGGCTCGATTGTGTCGGGGCAACGCTGAGGTCCGACATGCCTGGTAGGCCTACGGCCTCACATGCACGACCGGCCCGTCCCGGTCGAGTCTTGTCGTGGATGATGGGCCCGCGTATCGGCGTTAATGGGGCGCGAGCCGACGAGCTGGGCAGGTGTGTCGGCAGCGATTGGGTGGCGGCGGGGGCGGGGGGCGCAAGTGTAGACGAGACGCGGCGCATTGATTGCGCTTGGGCGGGGGGCGGGGCGTTGGACATTTGCATCAGTCGCGGGCTTCTTCGGTTCTCGGGCCCCGACGACGCCTCGCCCGAGATAGAGTGGTCCGAGCGCCGGGCGGCCTGACTAGGCACTGCAATTCACCTCAGGCAGACTAAAAAGTAACAAGTCTTAGTAGCGCCGCCGCGCGGCCAGAAAAACCTATGCAAATAGGCGACCTGGGCCCGGTAGCAACACTGCTACCGACGGTAGCAACTCGGCGCCGGGAACAAGCTCGCAATGGTTTAGTGTCATTACAATTGATCCGGAAATGATTTTCCGGCTTGACCCTATGACGTAATTCATTGGCGGGAGAAGCTTGTAGAGCTTATAGAAAAGCTTGTTGAAGTCCAAGTATATCCATTAACGCCTCAGCACTGCTGAAGCCGTGGTATGTCTGGCCCAATGCAACACGTGATCTGACGCGGGTTGCGCGAGGTTGCGCGCGCAAGCGCGCGACGCGTGTTGTGCGTTGATGATACGTTGACAGCTCTTGTCCTTAGGCCCCCTTTCGCCCGTACATTCAACACAAGACCCATTGGTCTCGCCGCGAATATCCTCGTCCTCGATCGCTGAACCGCATACACGTCACACGTCACGTCCCTCGTTGATCTCCGTTGATCTTGTGATCCTTTCACATCGCCCACTCATACCAAGTTTCCACGCTTCGGCGCTCGACAAGCCCCACGTGTATGTCCGGCGATCGTTTTCCGGGCTTTTACCAGAGAACGAGCTTCTGAGGGCCTGCTGACATCCACGTCTTGACTATAGATTCATCGCGTCGCCTCGGAACATTGCGGGCTCCTTCCCTCCTGGATAACCATTCACAAACAAGGCTCTGGGTGCGTGGTGGAAGTGCGGCTGCGCGGTCGTCGACGCGCTGTTTGATTGGTTTAATGCAGCACCGTGTCGTTCTGACCTTACCTTCCCGTGTTCGCCTTCCAGCCTCTGCCTGCACGATGTTCTCTTCCATCCAAGTCCTGCGCCGCCCAGCCGACTGCTTGACGCTCCCGCGTTCGCAAACATTGATTATCCAACCTATTCGCTCGAGTCGGGTAGTCACGCGTCCGCCTTCCCATACAACCTCCCTGTCCTAGGCAGCACAGCTAGCACAGGGCACCCATCAAGTCGACCCTCCTGTCCCGCCGATTCCGCCGCCAATCGCCTGCTGCCTGACCCCCTTCAATTGCCAATGGAGGAAGCCAATACATCGTCGGGCGTCCTGCAGCCCTCGCCGAGTTTCTCATCAGTAGATGGAAGCACCCCGACAATGCATCCATACCACTTTCCGCCGCGGATCAACAGTTCGCCCGCGTCGAAGTCCCTGTCGCCACCGTACCGATGCGAGTTTCGCCTTTGACGCCAGCGAAGAGGCCGATGGGCCCTAGCCTCCACGAACAGAGCAAGGCTATCCCTAAGCGCAACTGTCGCAAATCCGAACGACTTATGCACGAGCAATGGGCCCAGAAAACACACGACGAAGAGCTCGAGTATTGTATCCGACACAATATTCGACTCGATTATTTGAGGAGCATTGTTGCGCCCGTGACTCGCCTTGGCTCTCCCACTTCCTGGAATGACTTTGTGCAGAGCAAGTACTTCGAATCGCTGGCAGTTCAAGATGGATTGGAAGGTAGGCACAGCTCTTGACTACCTGACTACCTCGTGCTAAATTCTAGCATAGCATTGCACTACGCTGTTGTTGAACTAACGGGCTGGGTTGGTCCGCTTTAGTGCCGACCAATTTGGTGGAGAGGGTTAAGCTCGCAAAGCCATATTGGAACGACATAAAGGATGACGCAGAGGCGATGACGAGGTTTGACGCGGCGCTTGCCTTGGAGCGTGAGGAAGCGACGCAAGCAACGCAAGCGACCGAAGGTTCATCCTCCATCAAGATCGCCAGAAACAAGCCGATGAGTCACGAAGCCATCAAGAAAGCGCGCCGATGCATGCAAACCGCGTTGGAAACCATGGTGAGTCCAAGCTCAATTTGATACTGCTCACAGTAAAGTAACTGAAAGGATCATAACACCCTCAAAACCAACCCAGAGCACTTCATATGCGCAAAAATATGGACTCCAATTGTTTGCTGTGGTCTCTTCTGATCTTCCTGAACTCAATAAGGAGCGTTTCATGGTCGCGAGCCCCGGTGGTTTGGCCTTTGCCTATCGACAAGACTGGGGCGATAGTTTGGGTTCAAGACAGCTGCTCTCCGACTTCGCGGATTGCGTTACCGGTAGAGCGTTCTTGGAGGACAAAAAGGCCGAATTGGAAGCAGCTGGTCAGTAGGTGCACGCGCCGACAGACTATTGTCACTTGCTGATTGACGTCCGTTACGCTGTTACGCAGTTTGGGAGGCGCCACTGAAGGAAGCGAATCTTGAAACAAAAGCCTCGTGGTACAGCACGATTGTGAAAAAACTTTTCAGTGTGGACTATGTTCTAACCGAGATTTCAGTTGCTGCTCACTTGTTGACTGCTAACGATGAGTCTTCTCGGTGCAGATGATGCCGTGATGCGACGTACCAAGAACCAAGGGCACGAAAACAAGAGCAAACCGCCCAGGTTGGTGTACGACCCAACCGCGCTCATGCAACAGGCCAGTATCGTAGTTGAATGCGGCCCGAGCCTCAACTTGGAGACGGACTTCGCCAGCCCCATGGGCAAGCAAAAAATGTCGGGGGCCGACTTGGATCGTATCATTCCCCTGCTGCGTGCAGGAGAGTTGAGATTCAGGCTAACGGAAGAGGTACTAGCGGATGAAGAAGATGAAGATGGTGCAGCTATCCCTGCCAACGGCCAAGATGGCAGCGCGGTGAGCCGCCCCGATTCCGACGAGCACTCTTAGAGCTTAGGGCAGCAGCTCTCGACGCCGAGATGAGCCGGCGCGCTGGGACGGACATGAAGTGTAGGGCTGAATTGGAAGATACAACGAGTGGATGCCGCTGGACGAAGCAAGATGACTACTGGACTTAGTACACCAAGGATCGTGTCTGTAGTGCACCAAAGCCGCGAGCGTATGCTGCATGATGTTCGCCGTAATGATACCTCTGCTGCTTCCGCAGAACAAGAATACTGAAATGCTCCGTTTTCTGAGAATTTCGGATTGTAACATGCTCTGCGTCCTCCGAAATAGACTGCTCTGGATCCGCAATTCTCTAAGTGCGCTCTGACATACGCAGTTCCGGATTTCCACGAGTGAGTATTCGAGGTGTTCGAGGTGTTTCGAGAACATTTTACACTGGCGCACGGCCCAAAAACTCTTATCCTATCTCTCATTATGACGACTAGCGACCGAGTATGACGGTCCATGCTCAAGTGCTTGCCCCGAGTTGAACCCGCCAGCATGTCGTGCCTCGTCCGAAAGTGTGTTTCACGCGGTGTGGGCATCAGGTATTTGCCACGGGGGTCCCGACGTTTCGGTCCATCTGATCTGTCCAATCAACTCAGTCTGAAGGCGAGCCGGTCTTCTCAACTCCAAAGTACCAGGCGACTCTTCGTGCTAAAGTTGAAATCATTATTACTAGGGTTTGAAGTGTGAGGAACACTGTCAGGGAATCTCGCCGTTCCTAGCATCCGATCCAAGTGGCGCTGCTCCCGCTCGGTACGTAGCCAATTGCACGTCTCGTATTGGCCGCCTATTACAAATATTACACCCCACCTTGCCGGGAATCCAGTGAGTGGACCCGGGACTCCGACGGGTAACTCACAGTCGCCGCTCCTTCGCCCTTGCAGGCTGACATGTGGATGCCTGTCCATGCCAAAAGAGAATTGGTTTGTCGCATTCACATTACTTTTTGAGCATTGTCAAGGAGTAGCTTGGCGGATCCCGGCTGGTGTGGGACTGCGGCGACGCCACTAAAATTGAAGCTCCTCAAAAGCGACTCAAACTCCGGTTGAAAGTCGATGAAAGGGTTCAGATTTTGTCACAAAGCGATTTCGGTGTGTTGAAAACAAAATTTAGACGTTCACAACGGATTGGAAACATCCGAAGTTGCCACCGGCCGCCGGCGCCACCAGATGTCAAGCGACGCCAGAATACTACTTTTTTTACTATTGACTATTGAATAGATCTCATTAACAGCACAATTATTTTAGTACCAAGTATTTTTCGGACAAGTCGGAGGAAATGCTTTAAGCACACTGGCTAACGGCCACAGGTATTAGCTTGGCCGCCTTATTTTGCTTTGTAAGAGTAGATATTGCGCACATTTCGCTCCTTCAGCTCCTCTCAACGTCCTGTCCGCTGCTGAGAGCGCGTAGTGAGGCTCGGAGTCACCGACGCAGTGCGCCGGCCCAATAGCAGGCAGTGAATTTACTCACTGATGACGCGTGGGCTCTTCGGTACCCATGACCAGTCAGAACCTAATTCGACTCGCAAGGGTTTCCCCGGAGTGTATCACATCGGACTCAATCGGAGTGATCCCACAGTGGCCTCTCCAAGGCGGCAACTTGAGCTAAGCCTTGAAATTTCAGCTTCAACCTCCCGGATGATGTCAGCACAAGTCGAGACGCATAGAGCATGCGACAGTGCCCACAAGCAGCGATGCCTCTAGCAAAATCGTACTCAATTCCGAGGAAGGGGTGGCAACAGGCGCCTTCAGGTGCAGTGCTCACGGGAACATGGCTCGGGCAAGGGGAACCTCTGACCCGTGTTCCGGTAGGAGGACGCTCGTGCATACATCCAAGTATTGCGATTGAACTCCGCCTGACGACAGGAGATATGTTGTTCATACTGAAGGGACCTGCTCACCCATTTTGACAAGGTTCGTGCTTCACTTACTCGAGTAACAACTGGCGTTTCGAGTGAAAAGTCACTCGGCTCGGGCAAGGGGAACCTCCGAGCCATGTTCCCCTGATAAGAGGACGCTCTGCAGAGGCACGCTCGCACTCCCCATTACTTCCGACCATCCGAACAGTGGGCTGAACCCTGCCTGACATGTCATGGTTCGTGCACATTGATATTGCAAATGCAGTAATCATTGTCACACCATTAATCATTCGAACTCATGGTATAATCTGCAGCCAGTGTTTTTCACATTTCATTCTTCCGAGTCAGAGTCCGACAAAGAACGCTCCTCGTCGGGAACCAGATCATCAGAGCTGTCCGAATCGTATAGCATGCCCTCTTGCTGCTCCAGCACCTCATGCAAAGCCTTTGCGCCTTCTACATTCATGTCAGCACCCAGCTGCTCCGTGATGCGCCGCGCGAGCAGACGATCGTCATCGGTGGTCCCGAACGACTAGGACGGCGCTGCATAGGCGCCCGATGCGTCCTCCCGAGGCGCAACACTACGCGCACCAGCTCCAGTAGCTGTTGTCGTCTTGGAGACGTTGCCCGGGTTCAACAGCAGATGCGGGGTGAGACGCTTCAGAGCTCGAGGGACTGGTTCGTGCGCATCCGCTGGTCCTCTGGTCGTGTACCACAGCAGTAAGAAAGTGCTATCGCGGAACCAGTCTCGTTCGCGCTTTTGAAGAGCCCTCATCCGAGCTTCCAGAATGACGAGGGCACGGTCCCGGATCGTTGCGTAGACGGTACTACCAAATGCGCGTTCAACATGATCATGGTCATAAATCGTTGGAGCGGAATCTATTTGTGTTATCAAGAACGTATCAGCATCTAGACTAGTGGAGTTACGTTCGACTGACAACTGACCTGTCGCGCTAGCCAAAGTGCTTGGCGACTAGAGATGAGGTCGTGCTCGTCTTCGAGCCAAGCAAGGGTTTGTCGCACCTCGGCGCCAATCCGAGCGAACTCCTCCGCAGCTCGATCCAGGTCACGCACAGCAACGATGCCCCGTTTAACCCACGGATCGGTGGCCCAAGCAGCCTCAACATGCGTGAAAAAACCGTCTTGCCAGAAAAAATCCGTGTCTTCAAGATCAAGAATCGATGCTAGGCTACCGACTGATGGAAGATTGTTGAGGAGGTGCGATGGTGATGATCCGCCTGCCGTTCGAAACGCGTTGACAGCCTTGTTGTATGCCTTACGTGCCTTTTCAGCGCCAGAGTGTGTCTTGACTTCCGTTCTGCGAGCTTTGTTGGCCTCTCTCTGACCAAGTGTTGACCCGCCCCTGCCGCGATGCGTCGATAGCAATTTTTCACGGCTAGTTTTGTAGGCAATCACTTCTCGATGAAGCTTGCGCAGCGCAACGGAACACTGGCACAAGTGACGAAGCTCTGTGAAGCAAATAGGCACGTCATCGCAATCAGAAATAGGGAAAACTAAGTAAGAGAATTAAGGCCAACCTGTGGACGAGATGCTTGTCCCACTTCTTTGCAGTTGGACAATTGCTGCTTGATCGATCTCCCTTGCAAGACGATCGTGCTTCGAATTCAGCCCCACAAGCGCTTCTGGTTCAGACTCGTCACTGCTCAGCAAGATGATGAGTCAGTGAGAACGAAGGACAAGCACAAGCTCAAGTAGTTATCACCAAGCACGTACATGATGCAGTCAATCCTGTAAAGTTCCTCAGCAAGTTTATAAAGCTCGCTTTCCCTCAAACGATCTTCCTCAGCTTCCTGCGTAGCTGTTTTCGACGCTTGCGCTCGTCGCTGGTCTTGCCAAGCGACGCGGAGCGCCTCCTCCGACCAGGTGGCATCGTGGGCGATAACGGCGTCAAGTTCCTTTCGAGCAGCAGTGCTCCGAGCCTTGGCTGAGCGAAGCCGGCGGGTGAACCAGGACCCTAGTCGTGTGCAAAGAGTCAATGCGGCGAAAGACGAAGCGGCGACTGCGGAGCACTGACCAAGCCTTGAGACGTTCGCGTTGTTCACTGCCTGCGTGCGGACCGCCAAATTGACGAGGCGGTGGGACTTATTTGATGGACGATTGATGGGGATGAGGGAGCGCAGCGCGCTCCATAGTCGCTCATAACCTTCTCCATCAGTGAGTCCAAAGTTCGGGATGAGACGGGGGTTGTAGTCAACCTGGCAACCCCAGGTATGGGCGTATGCATGGAAGACACTTGTGGCGAACTCGAGTCGCTCAAACAGCTCAGGCAGCAGATGCCTCTGAAAAGGTTGAAACACAAAGCCCATATGATCAGCAACGACATATCGGAGAGGGGCCCGAGCCGAGGTGGTCAGTGCAAACCTTCTCAATGTGGTGCTTGAAATTACAAGCGATGTCGTACAAAATTCCAATCCTAGCATCTGGGGGAAGATGGTCCGAGATGTGCTTGACAATGGCTAAAGCGAAGTACAGCCTAGGTGATTGGAGCGCAGGCATGAGCATCAGCAGTGAAAGTAAAAATGCAAGTTGGAGTTGAAGAACATAAGCTCAATACACTCACTTTTCGCCGGTCTTCTCAAGATTCACCATTTTTAGGGCGATATCATGGCGGCACACGCCGGCGACAAGTCCTGTATCGATCTTGCGCGACGAGACTCGACCAGCGCCCCCGTCAGCAGCCTTCCACGACTCTGTGCACGCCTTCCGACGGGGCCGGAGCGATATTACTCAGTATTCGAGGCGGATCGCAAATATATCACGCTCCTCACCTTCTTCGTTGGCCGCGCTGTATTCTCGACGAGTGCTTTCATGTCCAGGACGGCTTTATCAGACAGAAACAAGCTCGGCACTATTCCTTGGACGTCGTATGTCGCATAATTTTCTCGGGTTTGCTGGAAGTTGCCGTCGAGCGCGATCATATAATCCAGTTGGAGGGTGTGATGGGGTCGGTTGAGCCGTTTCGGCCCGAAGCACGCTGGGCATTTGTTGGCCAGCGCGTCGACGGTGCCCAAGAGAAAGTCGCCAACGTCGCGCTCAGATGCTTCGATGGCGCGAAACTCGTCGATCGCCCGCTGCCATTGCTTCCTCAGCTCTTTATCCTGAGCTCCACAACCAGGCAGCAAATGAGTCCAGGTAGAACCCATGGCAAAAAACCGATAACAAATGCTCACATATGGGTGTCCATGATAATGCTCTGGTTTCGACCACCCGTTGTCCCCGAAATAGTCTTCGAAGCCTGCAGCGTGGCCAGTGAGGGCGTAAGGGGCGTTACGCCAACGCGAGTTTTCTAGGCGGATCATGCGGAAGGAGAACGCTGATCCTGGGTTGACAGCGGTCGATGCTATAAACCCAAGTTGAGCCAGGCGGACAGCTTCCGCAATACAGGGCGGATTGGAAGCGCAGAACGTGACTTGCTTGGAATAGACTGAAAGGCAAGGCGCAGAGGGGGTTTCACGTGTCAGTGATACCAGGACAACGGCGAGAAAAGATGCATCGCGCAAATCGGTGAACGGAGCTGGCATGACACATACCGGTCAGTCCGTCGTACAGGACCACCTCGCGAGCATACACGTGCTGACAGTGGCATGGTGAAGGAACGTTCAAGTCGTCCTTGTCGCTGTTCGAAACGAGCGGCAGAAACTGCCCATTGGTGCTTATGCGTAAATCAAGATAGAGACCCAAAAGGGCAGCGCGCTGACTCTCGCGCTGCTCGTGCTCGAGTGTGATAAACTTGAAGTAACCTTCTTGCTTGGCGGCAACCGGCGGATCGGAGACGCGGGGAGTTGGTAAAACCTCCTGTGAGAGTTCCTGGTGAGTTGGGCGTTGTAAGTCGGGGTCGGGTGGGTCCCAGCGCTCCATGGAAAGATCCATTCCCCCTAGGTCTTCGTACTCGGCCTGCTGAGCAAGAGGGAAGTCCCTGAGATAATCCTCGTTGAAATCATCGTAGGAGAAGTTCAGGTCATTGGCGAAGACTGAGGTCGAGGCGACAGGGACGCGTTGGTTCGTGCTCGTTTCGACGTTTGACGTTGCAGATGTGGTGGGAGTGGCATCCATATCTGTCTTGGCCTTCCTCGGCCTCTTACGTCCTCCTTTATCGACGATCGTACCTCCGAAAGTGACAAGGTACAGCGGCATCGTGGCGTATTGATTCGGGCAATCGGGATGGTCGAGGTAGTCCGAAGGCTTGATCCGTGGAAAGCGTGGTTTGAGTCGCGAGGGGCGGCCCATGGTGACTGAGCGGAATGAATACGAGAACACAAGTGTAGTAGCTCAGCAGCAACGAGCTCCGGGTGGGTTAAGTCTGCGACGATCCAGGTAGTACGTCCTGCAGGAAGCAGCGGCGGCCGCCTGCATGCACGCGCGACAGATTCCTTGCGTGCCAATTTGACGTGTTCCTCATCTTACAACGCGTCAAGCACGTGACTGGACACCCGCCCATGAGCATGAGCCCCGGCCTCAGGCGCTCAGGCGCTTAGAGTCTTAACATTTAAAAAATTACGTGTGGTTACTGATTCAACTCGAAATCAATCTTTGCTTCTTATTATCTCTCATGTCGTCACATGATCAATGTAGTGGTCTTAACGGACTTGGAAGAGGTGTACGGGCCTGTCCCGGCGCCGAGTTGCTACCGTCGGTAGCAGTGTTGCTACCGGGCCCAGGTCGCCTATTTGCATAGGGTTTTCTGGCCGCGCGGCGGCGCTACTAAGACTGGTTACTTTTTAGTGTGCCTGAGGTGCCAGAGCTATAGCATCCACGGGGGGAAACGTCGACAACGCAGTGAAGGCCCAAAAATGGAACGTGCGTTGCGAGTACCGCCCGTGAGCCCGCGTGTGTGGGAAGCACAGCTATAGCACCCACGGGGGAGAAGGGGTCCGTGCGGGCGAGCCCGAATCGGCGCGTCAAATCCTTGCAGCAAAGGCCGAAAAGAACCATGGCGCGCGCGAGTTAGCGCAAGCGCACCCCCCCCCCGCACCGGTACCGCCCCTACTTTTTATGTCCGCCTGAGGTAATGCACCGCCAACAATCGGACGCGGGCCACGTGCTCGAAAGTGGGCATTTTTATCCTTTTTGTCTTTTTTTTTTCTTCCTTCCGCGGGGCGATTCTCGCGTCCCCGAAGGCGCCTCATGATTCAACTTCTCGCTTCCCCCAAATACCAATCTTCCACGCCACGCTCAAGTAACATGGATTGGGAAGGTATCGCGACAATTGCATACTTCAATGCACTCTGGGGATTCATGGCTTATCTCTACACCACCCTGGAGATCCAGAATTTCTTGTTGTGCTTTCTCGGACGGATGTTTTTCTCGCTGACCGTCGCGGTGTCGGTGGGCCTATATCGTCGCAACCATGCACCGACCTCGAGGAGCAACCAAACAAGATTCAAGTGAGTTTGATGAGCTTCTGCACTTGTCCACTAGGTACCCACCTACCTACGGGTCTTCGGTAAACTTGGCTGACCCCGAGCAATCATCAATCTTGCATATTCAAAGCCGGCGATTGCTCCGAGCCTGGGCACCTGTCACTGCGGGCTGCTCAACCGGCACCCACGTCCGAGAAAGCACAACACGGTGCATTACCTCGGGCGTGTGAGATTCTCAAAGTACTTTAATTATCTCTTATTTCCTTCTAGCATCATGGCCCCTGTGTCTCTTCCCTTATTCTCCTTCTTGACCCGGCTTTGCCGTCTATCTTCCGCATTCTGGCCAGACTCGCGCACTTGCTCTCAGCTAGCTGGCCCGCGCGACTCTCTCTCTCCTGCTCAAGCAACTTCTTGGTCTGGTCTCCCTTGGTCCGTCGATCAGAGACTTACCACTGCTTGAGCAGGTGTGTCAAGCAACTTCTTGGTCTGGTCTTCCTTGGTCCGTCGATCAGAGACTTACCACTGCTTGAGCAGGTCTGTGCGTTGCTTCTACCTCTCATAGGGCGCACATAAAAAGTACGCCTCGATCAACAGGCGTGCGCGCAGCGCCCTCCCACGCGCCTTCCAAGCCACAACCCCAGCGGGTTGCAACCTTGCAACCTTGCTACCCCAGGTAGCAGATTAGGCCCAGGTTTCCGCCCAACTCCTTGCTTCGAGTCGATTCTGTGTACACACAACACTCTCACAGCTGCTAGATTGATAAGGAAAGTGCGTAGTAGATGCATTCCTTCCTTCATCTTTTTCTCGCATCTTTTGGATGTCGTCAATGTCACGAGTCCGAAGCGGTCGCGCGGGATTTCGGTCCCCGAGATCGAAGGGTCCGAGCACACGCGTTGGCGGCGGTCGGCTACGCGCGCCGAGGCCTAGCGCAACACGCGAGGGACCTTCCACTTGACTTGCCGCCTCACCTCGTTGCTTCCGCTACAGCTCATTGTAGCGTCGCCATCGACTGTACAGGCCCCACGGCTCGCGTTCGTCCTCGTGCTCATGCACTTGACCGGTTTAAGCTGAGGCGCAGGCTTCTCCACCTTTCTCCCTCCTGCTCTTCACACCTCATCCCATCGCCACCTCGAGCTCGCGACATCCTTCGGAAGCGGTCGTCGTGGAAGCTCTGCAACGAATACGGGATCTCAAAAAATGGCAGCCGCATGCATAGCTATGGATCCGAGTAAGTAGCTTCATGGACTGTGCTCGTGGTGTGGGATTATTCAGGAGCTAATGGAAAACTACCCAGCAGCAATTTCCTTCAACACGTCCTCTTTGAATGTCAACCCTCGAGTTGTTTTTCTTCACCATCAGCTGGTGACACTGCATGCGTGAGTTATCCCTTGACATGGCTGTGCAGTCTTAGATATGACGGAAAAACTGACACGAAAAAATAGACATTGGACATCAGTGACACAGCGGAAGGATTGACTTCGTACGGTTGAGAATCCGGGTCATTGGGACACTAAATGTGAGTCTTCACTGTCATTGCTAGAGATGGACAACAGCAAGAATACTGATAGCTGTAACGAACCACGCAAGAAAACAGGCTCTGGTCGCGTGAAGTGCGGCTCATCATCCCGTGGCAGATCCTCAACGGCGCGGTTCGGTTCGGTGACCATCGCGTTGGCAGGTGTGTGCCAATCTTTCAAAAGCAAAACGCAGGGCAGCATGACTAACTGACCGGTTGGACTGTAACATCACAGGGGACAAGTTTTCTCAAGATGCCTTCCCATTATTCCCAAGTCATCGCCTGCACAAATCGTCGACGCTTGCATCATGGAATGCTGACTTCTGGGGGGAAGTTGAGGTGCTGCATCTCTCTGTAAGTAGCGGTCCTTGCCTGACTTTTAGACCCTGTACTAACAGTGGCACGGTGCAAGCGCAGACAAACATGGGTCTTCTGGCCGCTGCAGACCGCATGACCGAAACGGAACGGGCAAACGCACAGAACTTTGCAGATTGGCTCTTAGGAGTTGGAGACGGCTCGGCGAACAAAACAAAAGACTCTGTCGCGCTCCCACGTGAGCTTCTCCTGCCGGCGACCACGAGGAACAGATCCGGGTTAATCAGACACGTGTATCCCGTCCCCGCGCTCGAACTCGACAATACGTCAATAGGCGAAAAAGTCGAATACTTCCGAGATCGAGCAATTCTGGCGCCCAAAAACTCGCAGGTGGATCAGATCAACGACATGGTGCTCGACCTGCTGCCGGATGACGCTCAAATGTTCTACAGCGCGGATTCGAAAACGAAGACGAATCACTATTCTCGATCGAGTACCTTCAGAGTCTCAACATCCCCGGGATGGCGTTGCACGCTGCAAAATTCAAAGTGGGATGTCCCGTCATGCTCCTCAGAAACTTGGACCCCGCCGCGGGGCTGTGCAACGGCACCAGGCTGTTGTTAACTCGGTTACACACCCGCGTGCTCGAAGCCATCATTCTCACAGGAGATCATGCTGGACAACCCGTTTTGTTGCCACGGATCACGCTGAAGACAGGGTCATCGGCTGAGCTTCCGTTCACTCTGCATCGGACGCAGTTTCCGATTCGGCTCGCAATGGCTATGACGATCAACAAGTCGCAAGGCCAGTCACTCGCGCAGGTAGGAGTGTGTTTGGAGACGCCCGTCTTTTCTCACGGCCAGTTGTACGTCGCGTTGTCCCGAGCAACGAATGTGGACGGTGTCAGAGTTTTGCTTCATCAGACAGAGAATGGAGAAGCAGACAATGTAACAGAAAACATCGTTTTTAGAATGGTTTTTGAGTTGATGAAATGAAGAGTTATCTCAAAGCTTCATAGTGAAGTTCCGGCATATAGCAGGTGAGGGATGTCGATGTCGATGTTGGGAAGCACCCATGAAAAGGTCCACACTCGACGCGGGTCTCGACGACGGTCTGAGCCCATCATCGGGCTCCCGGAGAACAAAAAAGTAGTTCAATGATGAAATGAAGGCTGTCTACATTTGATCGTCGTCGCGCGGTCCTCTCCGGACTTGAATCACTAGGTTTCCGTTACAACAGTAGCGCAGCTGTTGCAGCAAAGTACATCACATTGCAGCGGGTCAACGGTTACGGTGTGAGGTGGCGCGCGGAGCGCGCCGCCGAACCTAGTTTGATCGAGATACTTGAAACGACGTTGCCAGCCCCTCGTTGAATGTAGATGACAGCATCGCCCTGCGTGCGGAGAGCACGTTCAGGGTCGGTCAACCGAAGCGAGTACCTGGGTCTCGTCGCGGAGGTCGATGCGGAAGCGGAAGAAGCCCCGACGGCCTCGGTGATCGCGGCATGATGGTTGAGCAGCGCCGCCGTTGCAGATCGTAGACCGCTAGCGAAGAGGTCTTGGAACGAAATCTCGACGTGGTGCTCGCTCTTCCGAGCCATCTCGCTGCGAGGAGCATTGCTGATGGCGTCTAGCTCCTCGCGGAACAGGTCCAGCAATGAGGGGTGTTGCTCCAGTAGATCGAAGAAAGAGCTGAGAACCCTGACGCCAGGTGACGCGGGTGTGTCCCATTTCAATCCTCCCAGCCGGGCGACGCAATCGTAGGCGGTCGTCCCAGCATCGGCTTGAACGCGCGCGGCAGTTGAGTGACACGCTCCATCGTGGTGCGGTGGCGGGTGAAACCAACTGGATGGAGCACAACTACCAAGGAGTTGGGTGAGCGTTGGTGGCCGAGAGTTGGTGGAAACAATTTGCGTCGCTTCGTTTTCGTTGGAAGAACCCATACAGAGCGAGATGCTAGTGGACGGCGGGAGGTGAAGAGGGCCCAGGCGGGCGCGGCGGTGCCTTAATACTCTAGCCATTGGACTCCGGGAGATCCAATCACGGTGAGATGTTCGCGTAAATTTTGTGGAAAGCATTTCATGTAATCCACATCTCCAAGGCCTGCTTTCTTGATTGCTCTCAACACTGCTTTCCGAGCCGTGAACTTTGAAGAGGCTTTGAATTGAGGCCGCTGCAGTGCGGGCGAGACCGGCGTCGGCCTCAGGTTTCTCAAGCTTAGGCATCATTCCATGTCTACGACGGTGTACCTGGTGTAGGTGTACTGGATACGCCGCGAAATGCCGACTTGGTTTTGCAACAAGAACGTACTATGACCTACATCATGTGTTTATCTTTCCTTCTTTCTGGTTCCTATCTCCTTTTTTTTTCTCATTCGTTTGTTTATTACCTTTTTTTCCGGCAACTCCCTGCGGCCCTGCGCGCGGCAAGATGATGATGGCTTTGGCTTCCCGCACCTCACTGGCGACATCAGCCGTGCTCGATCCGGTATCCCTCCACGACGTCGGCTATGGCCACTTCGACTATCGAGGTAAGCATCTGAGTGCGACTCTCTCGAGCACGCTGCCTCGTCATCGGCGCCGACTGACCTCGCGCGACTCATCTTCGCAGGAATTCGATCGGTCCGTGCGACAGGCGCTGACCAAGTCGCTGTCCCATTCGAGAGTGGAAGCCGTCGTCGAGAGTGCGATGCTCAATGTCCATGTGCGTGGACTTACGGCTCCAGTGGAGTGCCCCTGCGCCGCGCCGAACGCTGACTTGTCTGACTTGTCTGACTTGTCGCATCCGCACAGCCCGACACCCCGCTCGTCGCCTCGATCCTTCGCCACCACCGCAAAGCCACCGCACCGCAAAAGCTCCCCTCCTTGTACCTCGTCGACGCCATCGCAAGGGAAGCTAGGAAGCGCGTGAAGCGAGCCCTCCAGGAGCAATCCGTGGCGTCGTTCGAACCGTCGACCTCGACCACCTCATCGGCCACACCGGATTATGCGGCCTTCATGACCGAGTTGGAAGCCATGCTCGCCAAGATCGTACTCGACTCGTGGGAGAATGGCGAACACCAGCATCGTGTTCGTCACCGCTCGTCGTTCTGTTTCGCAACCGCGGATTGGCCAGCGAGCGAGCTCGGCCAACTGAAACCGTGCTCTCGATTGCGATCCCACAGGAAAAAGTGCGCAAGATCCTGGAGATCTGGCAAAAGGGGGGCGTTTTCTCGTCGTCGTCGCTCTCACGGATCAACGCCAAGATGGCCGCCTTTGATCAACAAGGCGCCAGCGGAGCGAACGGATCAGCTCCACTCTCGACTTCGACCACACCTCCGCAATCGCCTCCCCCACGAGCTTATACCGATGCAGCAACACAAGGTGAGTGCGTTTGTCGTTGTACCCTGTTTCGGGTCCTGGTTTTTGGTGCGACCTTCGTTGTAGCTTTGTCACGGCGAGCGATCGATCGATCAATGAGCGCGCATCGATCCTCGTGCGAAGCTTGCAATGTCCATCTCCGCGTTCTTCGCATTCTTTACGTGGGCTAGAGAGCTGAGATAGCACCTATTCGTACCCCTACCACTCCGTTCGTGCTCCAGATCCTCCCAGCTCGGCACCTTCAGGCCTGCCAGCCAGTGTGCTCGCACTCTTCGGGGCTCAATCCGGTCCGACCTCGACCTTGACCTCCTCCAACTCGTATTCGACAACGAACGGTAAAGGCAGACCCGCATTGTCGATCCAGGATGAAGTAGCTCGCGCGATTGCAGGCGCGAAATCCGGAACCTTGTGCGTATTCTCCTGGTGTGTGTCTGGGCAACGAGAAAGGCAAGTCGTCACTCACCGGCGCATCTCCCTTTCTATCGAACAGCCTCCCGAACGAACCGACACCGCCGCCACCTCCTGCGATAGCATCGTCGATTGTGCCTCCTCCCCCAACGCCAGCACGCTCGGCATTACCATTCAACGCCTCACGAATCGCGCTTAACGAATCGCTAGCGAAGCCGCCGCCTGCTTTGAAAGACGCTTCACGCTCGACCCTTCCTCCCCCCGCCCTACACTCGCCCGACGGGCCAGACTCTCGAAACAATCAAGTCTCTAGCTCGTTGCTCGAACCATCTTCTTCATCCCCTGCCTCGCGACCTTTACCTTCTTTCCCATCCACGACTGCGAACCCGTCACTCGTTGCGCCACCCCCACCCCCACCCCCACCAGGCTTCAAACCGCCGATCTTCCTGCCTACACCCCAAGTGACCCCCTCCCCTGCCCCTCCCCTCACCCCACAACCACAACCACAACCACATCCCTCTCCCAACCCTTCCCCCGCAGCCTCCTTCGACCCAACAACTTTCTCCGCCCTCTCCGCGCACTCGTGGACGTCCCTCGTCGCGTCCCTTCGTTCAACGCTCTTTGCGCACTTAACGGACCGTGAGCCTACGAATGGAGAAGTGATGGCGTTCGTGCAGATGGTGACGATGAGACAACAACAGCAACACGCTCAGCAACAGATGATGATGTCCGGGATCGGGTTTGCTCGATCGGGGGAGGTCGGGACGGCGAATACGAATGCGAATGGGCATGGGCATGCGAATGCGAATGCGAATGCGAATGCGAATGGGTTTGTTTCGTCCGCTCCGACGTCGATCGTCGCTTCCTCGTCAATGCAGACGGACTACGACAATCCCACGTCCTACAATCATCCTCAAGCTCAAGACGAGTACAGCGGTGCATGGCCATCGACAACGCCCTTCTGAGCCGACGCTGTGAACGCAGGGTGATCGTACTATGAAGCTGGCGTTCAGAAAACGTCTCGGCCAGGGTGATGTTCCTGAATATTAATATGTAGTGTGAGGGGGGGACGATCTTAGTTATGAAGAGGATTCACTCTAGTCGCTTCATACTGTTGTCATGCATGCCGAGCCGTTTCATCATCTCGATCGGCTCTGTCAATCTCGACCCGTTCAAACCTTGCACTCGATTTCGCTCTTAATTTACCCGCCGTAATCTAACATTGCAAAAATAGACGAGATCCTTCCTCCAAAAAAAAAACCCCCCAGGCTTCCCAACCTTCAGCAATAGCTACGAATCCCTCCCATATCCCCTCCCTCAACTCTTAACACTCCTCGACGGCACCCCTCCTCGCCCCCTCTTCCAACTCACTCTCCACACCCTCCCGCTCCAAAAACAATTCCCCTTCGCCTTCCTCGGCGCCATAAACCTTTCTCGCGCAAGCCATCACGTGCAACTTGTCCGCATCGAACGGGTTGTTCCAATACAAGGTGTAGCCGAGGCTAGCGGTGAGGATACCGATCGTTGAACCTGCGAGCACGTCGGTCGGGTGGTGCATGTGGTCCTCGAGGCGGGTGATGGCGATCCAGGTTGCCAAGATCAGTGGCGATAAAGTGAGGGCAAGTCGAAGCATTCGTGATTGTAGGATCGTCGAGCGGGGGAAGCGAGCCTGGAAGGCAAAGGCACCTGTGTTTCGGTCGGTCGGTACAACGACATCATGACTCCCTTCAGTCCCCCAGCTGCACGAGGGAGCGACGCGGTGAGAAGATCGCGCGTACGTACCATTCTTGCCCGCAAAGAACAAGCACATAAAGAACAAGCCTTGAAACGAAGCCGATGAATGACCTGCAAGTGAAGAGCCGCCCCACATCAGCGATTGCTCATACGCAGTCGGGTCAGACTTGGTTCTCGCACGGACCCGAGGGGAAGGACCTCCTGCCATCCTTGACGAGGTAGTGAGGTCCGGTACAGTCGTGGGAGATGACACTGTAGGCGCATCGATCGAGGAAATCGGGACGGAGACGACCGACCTACAGCGCGAGCGAGGGGAAAGCAAAAAAGGTCCGCAGAAGAGGGGGGATCAGCTCTCATCTGGTGCCCCCACGTGCTCGTGCCGTCTAGGGGCCAATTCGCACCCCCCGTGGCGAAAACGGTCAAACACACTCCTCCCCATCAATCGACACGTTAACGCACCCTGTTCTTGATAAACTCGACGGTGATCGTCATCAAAGCCCTACTGGCCAACAATCCCAAGGCGGCATGATGCATCTCCTGTACGGACCTCCTCAACGCCGAGACGAGCACGATGAGCGCGAGGGGCAAGTACACGCTCAGCAAGTTCAAGTTCCGAACCGAAACGCGTTCGTGTTGGGTATGGGGCCAGGAAATGTCGTGGTCGCCTGTGAGCAGCACACACACGCGACGATAGGCTGGATTTTAGAGGTAGGATAGGACGATGGAACCACCTGGCCCCCGTTCCGTTCGGTCTACTGACCCAGGTAATGCATCACATCCCGCTCGTACGGTTCCTGCCTCTCGATATAGGTCCCGATCCACCACAGTCCGACCACAACGAGCCAGTCGACGAGTAGCGCCCAACTGAAGAAGGAGAGGTGTCGTCGAGTCAGGGAACGGACTCGGTCCGAGAGCGTAGGGGGCATGATGCCGGAGAAGGGTGGATGCAGGGGGGGGGGGGGGGGGGGGGTGGTTTAGATTCGAGCTCTAGAAAGAGAGTCGGGCCGGTAGACAGACGGGGGTGCGAATTGCTGTGGGACGAGCGGGTGGACTGAAGGAAGGAAACCATTCGCGCTCGCAGGTGGCATCGCCAGCCAACTTGAATCGCACTCTCAACTCGCACCGACCGATTGGAAAAGCTTTACTTCCATCTTCACAACAGCACCTTATGCAACGCCCCGTTAATGATTTCACCCATAACAATGCATTGCACCTCCCCTCTCGTGCTCTAACTCAAACTGGCCCCGACCAAACTCCGAGTCCTACACTCCCCCCTCTTGGTCACAATCTTGTACGCCTTCCCACTCTCCTTGTCGACCCAGGCACCCTCCCGGTTCTCCAGCGTCGTGAAGCCCGGTTGAACGGTCTCAAAGATCTTCTTCTTGGGGTTAAGGATCTCCAACGCCTGTTGGTCCTCGAAGCCTTCGAAATAAACCCGATCACCGGGGACGGATCCCTCGGGAGGGGAAAGGAATTCGATTCCGGCTTCCTTGCCTTCGGTTGCCGTGGCCTGTGAGAGGAAAGTAATCGGATCCAGTTTGCTTTCAAGTTTTTGACGGTCAAGAATATGTGGCGAGGTCCTTACGCAGAGCACCATCGCGAACGACTTGACGCCGCGCATGTTGGCCGGCTTGAGGTTGCACACCGTGATCAACGTAGCTCCTCGCACTGTGATCCCGCAATCCATCCTAAAATCAGCAACGTCGTCCACTACTCTCCACTCTTCCGTGCACTCACTCTGCTCCAAGGTCATGTACTTGACCAAACCCGAAACGACCGTCCTCGGTTCCTCCTCGCCGACATCGATCTTTTCGACATACAACGAGTCCGCATCAGGGTGCACCGCGACCTCGACGATCTTGCCGACCCTCAAATCAATCATCCAAGGTGCAGGCGCTTCCGTGACCGGTACCGCAGGGGTAGGTTTCTTGACCTTTTCCACTTTCTCCTTTTTCGGTTTCGCCGCCGACGACGTCGTTCCCTCAGCTACGGCGATAGGGGCGACGGTTTCGACTTTTTTCTTGACCTCTTCTACGACCTGCGCCTTGTCGGCCTTTTCCTGTTTGCCCGCTTCCTGGGGTGCCTCCGCAGCAGCAGCAGCGGCGGCAGCGGCGGCGGCAGGAGTTTTTTTTACTTTGGCTTGTTGCTTGATCTCGACGACGGGCACGTTCTCGACGTCGATCTTGACCGGTTCGGGGGAGGAGGAGGTGAATACGGTCGAGAGGTGGGGTGCGACGAGGCGGAGGTTTTGGATGTGGTTGAAGTGACGGGATAGGGAAGGGTGCGAGAGGTGTTGGTTGTGCGTTGCCGAGGCCTGGTGGGGAAAGAGTTAGGGTTAGGAGCGGTAAGGTGAAGCGTCAGGGAGTGCAAAGCACCCTCTGGAAACGGGTTCGGTACACGTACGACGGTCGGATGAACGGCCGCAAAGAGACCGAGATCGGCAGCCGAGACGGACTCGCCGACGAGGAAGGTCCTGGTCGTCAATTCGGCATCGGCGGCCTGTTCGCGAAGAACGATCTCGTCAGTTTGGCTGATGCACTCCCCACCTTTGAGACTCTCGTAGGTTACTGACCTCGGCCCCCTTTTCTCCGTCGAATTTGTTCTCGTCGACGAGGTCGAGGTAGTGCAATACGCTCTGCTGCACTTGGTCCGAGGCGCCTCCGAGAGCCTCGTTCGTCTTGCCTGCGGCTTCCAGGAGAGCTTTCGCGATCTCGACGAGCTGGGTGTACGTTTGCGATGAAGCGGATTTGAATTCGAGCTGAGAACGAGAGAGAGACAGGGGCCGAAGGAAGCCCAATGATCAGCTCCGTTCGCCGAGCTCGGGTGCTCGATCTGACAAGCTCACCTTGTCGTGGTGACGGTGGGTGATGGTCAAGTCGGGAACGTATTGGCCGTAGACAGCGGCGAGGAGAGCGGCTGCCCTACCGGCACAAGTGCTGTGAGTGAGCGTGAGCGAGGCCATCGTCGTTCGGGTGCGAGTCAGGAGGGAGGCCAGTGTGGAAGGGCTGGCGGTGTCTAGAGTGGTGTCCGTGTGGAGGCGAGGAGTTGTGTGGTCAGAGTGAACGGTGACAGACGGTGAGGTGCCTCTTCCAAGTCTTTCAAGGTTCTGCTAATGGCTTCTAATGCGCGCGCGGGCCAGAGTAAGCCGATAATAAGCCGATACTAAGCCGGTACTAAGCCGGTAATCAAGTCGACTTGGCACGTCTCGAGCGGCGCTGTCTTCTTTCCTCCTTCGCTGCCTCAGCGCACCCACCGCTCAAAATGAAAATGCGCACCACAGCAACACTGCGACTGTCCTCGACCCTGCTCCAGTCATGGCTACCGAACACACCCTTCTGTTCGGCGTGCCTGTCCCGCCTACGCCCCAACTCCTCGTCCTCCTCTCGGCCGTTCTCGTCCAGCTCGTCCACGTCGACCTCCGACGACTCCACTTCCTCCAAACCCAAACCCAACTCCAAGCCACAGCCAAGACAGAAAACCATCAAGGCCCCGGCCCTAGAAAAGGAAACCACGCCGAGTCGGCCACGCAAACGAGCACCGTACACCCGCCGACCGCCGGTGCTGCCGACCAGTCTCCAGAACCACGAACTGTTCAAGGCCGTGTCTGCCATGGCTACCGTTCGATCGAGACCGACCTTGATCAACCTCGATTCGGCGAGGGATGTGGTCAGGGCTTGGGGGGTCGACAAGATGCACGATGTGGTCGTCGTCGAACCTTTTGCGGGTGAGCACCGCCTCTCTCTCCGCGCTGTCCCTCTTTCCGAAGCGAACAAGCTAACCCGGTCATTTCATCAGGTCCCGGCGGTCTCACCCGAGCGTTCCTCGAACTGCCCAACGTCAAACGCGTCATCGCTTTCGAAGATTCGTTCCGCTACCTCCCCATCCTCAACGACCTCTGTGCCCGCCAAGACGATCCAGAACGCCTCTACGTCCACGCGGGCGATGGCTTCTCGTGGGATTCCTACGCCAAGATCGAGGAACTCGGCCTGCTCAAAGACGTCGTCCACCGACCCTGGAAGGAACGTGAGTTTAGATCGCGAACCCTTACCCCTGCATAATGCGCCCCCATCTCACCTTCTTTCTCAAATCGCAGCCCAGGATGGGCTCTTCCTCGCGCTGCAGCAATCGACGAACCGCCACGGCGAACAACTCTTTATGCAATGCGTCTCGGCCGCCGCGACCAAGATGTGGTTATGGAAATACGGTCGCTTCAGCATTGGTGCGATCACCGCTGATGCGTATTGGAAGGTGAGCACCCAAGAACGCGATCGAGTGCCCCATCCTGAAGCTGATCCGGCTCGCCTCATCTCTCTCCTTTTCCAGAAAATCTTTGCCCCGATCGGCTCGCACGACCGCCACAAAGTCGGTGTCATCCTCTCCACCGTCGCCTCTCTCACCCCGACCGCTCTCACCCAACCCTGGACGCCGACCGAACATCATTTCCACAAACCTCGCTCGGACCAGAACACCTATTCGCCCATCAAAGTGACGCCTTGGATCGAGCCGATGGCGCAAGACTTTGAGGTGCTGCAGTTCGTAATGAAGCAGATGTTTATTTCAAAATCGACGGGTTGGGAGAGGACGATGCCGTGCGTCGATGTCCGACCCTTCCATTCTTCCCGTTCGGTGACTTTTCCCACTAACCCCCCCATTTCCCTCGCACCCTAACAGCGGTCTAGCCGTCGGCGCGGGGAACCTGATCCCAACCATTCTCGCCCGCGGCGGTCCACCCTTGGGAAAACAAGTCCAAGCTTTGGACGTGGACGAATGGGTCGTGATCGCGGATGCGTTCGCCGAATGGCCCTTCCGACCGACGGTCAGTTTTCGGGGTTCGATTTGAGCCCGAGACACCTTGTTCGACTTGTTTCGAGAACGAACGTATTCGCGTTCACTGATGATTTCTATCTTTGCTTTTTTGGGGTCGCGCAGGAATTGTACGATAATGAATTCATCCCCGAATATTGATAGTTCCCTCATCTAATATGACATGTTTTCGGCGTGATCATTATTTCCCTCGCCCACAAAGTGGGCCCCCCCTGTATCGCAACGCCGTAGATAGTGCAATAGCAACCCCCAACTTTTCTTGCAAGTGATGGACAATAAGGTGAAAGAAAGTCATCTTGTTCGCCCCCTGAAAAAACCCAGGCTTCCTTCTTGGCGCGACCGAGTCGGTGACGGCCTTCACTCACGAGTCACGCGGGCCCCGTCGCCAGCGCGCGAGCTCAAAGCGCTCGTCGTTTGAGATCGCTTGTTCTGGCCCCCCCTGCGGCCCTGCCACTCGCGAGCCGACTGGCCCATCGCAGGCCAGGCAAGCGCGGAAATGATCGGCCGAAAGCGAGATTGGTCGCTTCGGATCGCGTTCAACTTGGATAGGCTGCTTCCTTCCTCTTCGACCGCTCACCCCTACTTTTTCGAACACTTTCTTCGTCAAGGCTGCTTCGTTTCAACAACGATTCCATCCTATTGCATAATGTGAGGCTCCTCCCTTCGCCCCTCTCATGTCCAGACGTAGGGCCGGGCGCGGCGGCGTGTCGGGATCTGAGCTCGCCCGAGGCGCCTGCGCACCAACCCGCGGCGCAACTCTCACAAAAGGAGGCGCTTGTCTGAGCTTGTCTGCGCTTGTTGGCTCTGCCGCGCGCGCGCGAACGTAAAACGAACCAATTCCGTCTGACCCTCTTCCCGCCCCATTTCCAGACCCTTCACAACTCCCAATCCCACCCAACCCCCTCCCGTCTCTCTCTCTCAAAAAAAAAAAATGGTCAACGCCCCCCGAATGAACGGTTCCAGCGATGACGACCCAAAGGATGGTTCTTCGACGGCGTTGATCGCGCCAACGAAAGCCGGCGACGCGCGTAACCGCGCCGGGATCGCGTCTTATACCCAACATTGGGATCGTAATTCGGCGAACGATACGGCTGAAATGACGGAGCAGAGGAAGGACGTGTACACGGACGTCGTCAATAGCTATTATGATGGTTCGTTTACTTCTACCGGTCGCGTGGGGGGGGGGGGGGGGGGGGGGTGGTGGTGGTGGTGCGGAACACGTTGGGGATGTCGGAGATCGGGGGGGGGGGGGTCGGGAAGGGCCGATACAAGTGAATGCTGACTCTGTTGGAATTGATTCGTGTTCGATAGGTGCTACCGAGCTTTACGAGTACGGATGGGGAACGTCGTTCCACTTTTGCCGCTACTGTACGTGTTCTTCCTGTTCCCGACGCGCGACGCTTCCAAAGATTTACACCTGACTTCGTCCGTGCCTCTCCACTTTTCCCACAGACAAGGGCGAAGCGTTCTACCAAGCCATCGCCCGCCACGAGCACTACCTCGCCGCACAAACGGGCATCCGACCCAAGATGCGCGTCCTCGACGTCGGCTGCGGTGTCGGTGGCCCCGCTCGGGAGATCGCGCGTTTCACCGACGCGTACGTCGTCGGAGTCAACAACAACGAGTTCCAAGTCGGTCGCGCGAACAAGTACACCGCCAAGGCCGGTCTCGGTGATCAGGTTTCGTTCGTCAAGGGCGATTTCATGAAGTTGGCCGATCAGTTTGGCGAGAACTCGTTCGATGCCGTTTACGCGATCGAGGCGACGTGTCATGCCCCTGATTGGGAAGGCTGTTATAACGAGATCAAGAAGGTATTGAAACCCGGTGGAGTTGTGAGTGAAAGCTTGTTCCGGACTAGATCGCCTTTTGGCCAATTTCCGGGGTCGCTGATCTTACTTTGCCGTTCGTCCCCTTTCCCCCCCCCCAGTTCGGCGTCTACGAATGGTGCATGACCGACGCATGGGACCCAAAGATCCCTCACCACAAGGAGATCGCGCACGGCATCGAAGTCGGCGACGGGATCCCGGAGATGCGTTCGATCGCCGCATGCCGCACCGCCCTTCAAAATGTAGGATTCGAGATCTTGCACGAGGAGGATCTCGCCGATCGCGACGACGAGGTCAAGTGGTACTACCCGCTCGAAGGCGATCTGAAGAAATGCCAAACGCTTTGGGATTACGTGATCGTGCGTTTTGGTGTTGTTCCCCGTCCGATTCCCAAACTCCCAATCGCTGACTCTTTCGCCTCATCTCCCTTCTCCGCAAAAGTGCTGGCGCATGACCCGTTTCGGCAAGTTCTGCACGCAAAATACCGTTTGGGCCTTGGAGAAAATTGGTATGGTGCCCAAAGGCACGCACGACGTCGGTGAAGCGCTCGTGACCGCCTCCGTTGCCTTGGTCGCGGGAGGTAAAGAGAAGTTGTTCACGCCGATGATGTTGTTCGTTTGCAAGAAGCCGGAGGAGAAGTAAGAGCGGACATTATTGCGTTTCTTGGGATTTCGGCTCGGCGTTCACCTCACCAAAAACTTTGTCATCACTTGGCTATTCCCTCTCGTCTCACCCTCGTTCATCTCGGTCTACTCTTTTTTTTTGCTTTCGAATTCTTGCTTTATCTACCCTTAGACTTTTCGAGTCGCACAATCTTTTGAATATAAACCCCGTAATAATACCATTCAACCTCAAACTCGTATCATTTCGAAGAAGTCTCGCACGTATTGCAGAACTGCATCGTGGCTATTTTGACAAGTCGACAGCAGTGTTGTGATTCTCCCGCTTCGTGTTTCGCGCGGCGCCGTCGTACTCCTTTCCCCCTCTCCCCTACGCTTGAAACCCCAAGCACCTCTTCATCGACCTGAATCTCAAACGCTGCAAAAGTTGGTATCGGGAATGTCCCGCTCGTCGAAAGCGTTCTTCGGCCTCTCTCTCGTTATCGCCGTCGCGTCGATCGGCGGTGTTCACCTTTCGCAATACCAAGAACGTCAAGTAAGTCTCACCGCGCACCTTACCTTACTCTCAGCCCACCCCCCTCTCTTCAAACCAACCACCCACCTCTCAGTCGACACCAACTCAAACCTCTCATTCTCTCTTTCGTTTTTCGCTTCACGCGAAAATGATAGACCATGTTCGCCGGTGTGTTGCGAGACGATGCCCGACTCGCCGCGAAACGTCAAGCCCGTCAAGCCGAATTCGAAGAACAACGACGCAAGCAAGCTTATCTCGAGACCGTACAAACCCTACCTTCATCGAGTTCTACGAGTACTGGGGTAGGGGTAGGGGTAGGGGAAGGAAGGGGGGTGAGAGTTATGAGTAGGGAGGAAGCGGAGGGAGTGGATTGGGCTTGTAAGGAATGTGAGAGGCGTTGATGGACTGGCGTTGGGGGAGGGGTTGGGGGGTTCAGTTGTGGGGTAGTGGGTTTGGTTTGAGAATATGTTGTACTAGTATGGAAGCGCACTGGCCTCACGGGTTCCCGATGAGACATGAGCTTTGGACGTTCGGGATTGACCAGGTTAGTAAGCCGTCGGAGAAGGGTGTCAATTCTACCACAGGAGAACACTGTCCAACTAGAGGGAGGATGGAAGGGGGTCTAAATATACAGGAAGAGCCAATACCGGCATCACAACAGTCACAATGCTCGAGGAAAGACACCATGTCGGAGATCATGGACATGGGGTCGAAACATCACGTGACCTCGATCCTAAGCTATCCGGCATCTTCCGATCCACCATAACTCTCCAAGTTAATCATTCAGCGTTTCCTTTCTTAATCGTCTACACGGCGACACACGCGGCGGCAAGAATGGGGCTTGTGAAAAAAGTTACAAATGACGTCGACGATCGTGATCGCGTGCAGCGCCAAACTCTTCTTTCGCTGCCAATGGGCCCCAATCCATATGCAAGGCTGGACATGATCCGGTGCGAGGCTCCTTCATAATATGACTCCTGTCGATGCTATGGTTTCAAAACCAACGTTCCACCTCGAGCAAGCGTCTCTGATTGGTCCCGAGGACACCCTCGGCGAGTTCAGCCGAGATTTGACGCCACTCAGGCTGAAAGTCTGGCAGCCGTTGGTCGAGGTCGCGCTCCGCGAGTGCTCCGCATGGGCGTGACCTTCATCGCCTCCTTTGCTAGCCTTTGCTTCGCGGAGTAAGTTGGCCCTAGCAGCGATCGTCCCCGGCAGCTTTACCTCTTCCTCTCTCACCCCGTGATCCTTTGTCGACTTTTGTGCACACCACTCGCTCCTTTGCTTGTACCGCTTAGGGTCCTTTCTCGACTCTTCAAGCCCTTACACCCCCCCTCCGTTTCGTGGACCTAAACCGACGCTCGGTCTTCGCAAACCGGCGCGCTCCGTTGTCACGCTCGCATCGCCGGACGTCTGTTCGCCCGCGCTCGTCGCCTCAGTCGCCTCTGGATTGGTTATTGCATAAGCGGGTTCTCCTTCCCAATCCAGGCTTTCGGACCTTGGCCCTACCCTCTCTTTCGTCTCGGAGACTCGATACCTCGATACCAAGCCCAACTCGAGCCTACATACCCACCACAGCCCTCACCAGACGATGGCCGCATCCAACGCCGACTCGAGCGGACTCCGGCCTGTACGCCGCCGCCGTGGTGCTCCAGCAGCGGCGGCCGGGGCCAATCGTCGCGCGGCGCTGATGCTCAAGCGTCAACTGATCAGCATCGGCCCCGCGACGACCGACCCGACCACGACCGACCCGACCACGACCACGACCACGCCCCCACCTGTCGCCACAACTACTCCTCCCGTGGCCACGACCACTCCTCCCGTCGCCACGACCACTCCTCCCGTGGTCACCACGACGACGTCGGCGGCGATCCCTACTACCACCACTTCGAGGTGAGTTGCTCTTCCGCCGTTAGACAAGACGAGCTTCGCCGATATCCCTTGCCGTGCCCGGTCCTCTCCTCCTCTTCGCCGACGACCCCATATCTATCAAGTTGGATTTCGAGTCGACTCGGGTCGGGTCGACGAAATCTTCTTTTGCTCTGCTGCTACCCGCTCGAGACTCGAACGCTGATCGTGTGGCGATTGTTCTTTCAGCAGTGCCGCACCTAGAACGACAACTGCAGCAGAAGCAAGTCCTAGTCCCACTACCGCAGCTGCGACGAGTAAGCACCCACGATTCAGTCAAGTACTTTGATCCATCAGCTGACCTTGCGTCGTGATCGCCCCACGCTGTTAGCTGCTCGAACTACGACGACACCATTCGTAGAGCCGACAACTTCTCGTGCTCGTGAGTTCACCACGCCGCGTATTGAATGAGCGATCTTCTCGGCGAAGGACCGGCAACTGATGCGTTGCAGCTTCATTGCTTCCATCGCCTTAGCTCTCACAACAACGGTCATCATCACGCCCACGACTGGTGAGTACTTTGCGCCGTTGCGACCTTGTTGTTGAAAGCCCGGACTCCGAGACTGACTCTTCGCCGTCTGTCTCGCAGTCATCGTCGTTGGCTCTTCGACCATCACCTCGACCCTCAGTCCCATCACCTCTACCGCCGTTCAGACAGGCACTAGCTCCGGTGACTCGACCTCGTCGGGTCTCTCGTCCGGTGCTCGGGTCGGCATCATCGTCGGTTCTGTCGTCGGTGGTCTCGCCGCACTCGCTGCTCTCGTGATCCTCTGCCTGGTCGCCAAACGCCGAAAGCAACGCCAGGAGGACGATGCGATCCGTTGGCCCGAGATTCAGGATCAGGCGAACCTGTACCCTCAACCCGTACACTCGACCGGTGGAGCCGGTGTCGGTGGGGACGAGATGGAGGAAGTGCACTCGGACTTTGGTCGCGGTGCGGCGGGATTGGGAGCTGGAGCGGCCGGAGTCGGTGCGGGGGCTTATGCGGCGCATCGCTACAATTCGATGTCCAGTCACGGTGGACACAGCCAACAGCCGACGTTGCCCCAGGTACCGCCGTCGATCTACTCGTCCGAGGAATCGCCGTACTCTTCGTACGGAGCCACGACGCCTTACTCGCCGCATAAGAACATGTTCGGTAGCAGCGGGCCTTCCTCGAATTCGGGAACTCCTCTCGCCCCTGGTCCGGCATCGATCGAGTACCAACGCGCCATGGCAGCGAACAACACCTCGCTAGGATCCGAGATGCGTCACGGCACGCCTTCACCCCCCGTCGCTGCTTCTTCGAACGATCATGGTGAACCCTCGTCCCACCCCCACCCCGCCGGATCGGGCGTCCTCCCTCTTCCCGGGTCGGAGATGGGTCACGACGAGATCGAGCGTCCTTCTTCGCCTACGGATATGCAAGTCGGCGGACCGTTCGGCGCGGGTTACGACGAGGGTGAAGGTGGTAGGAGGTGGCAGTTGAGCGTGGTGAATGATGATCCGAGAGGTGAACGAGGGTATTAGGTGATGACTGCACGATCTTCATCCACTCTTTCCGGGTCCATACTCTCCAATGATCTCCGTACCCCGTCCCTCTCGATTCTCGGCCTCCCTTCGTTTCACAAAGTAGCTCCCCTCCTCTTGTCTATCCTTACTCCCTCTTACTTTACATCTCCATCGTCTTTTCACTATTCACTATCCTGCCCTGACCGAGGCGCTTTTTATTCTGCCTTCCCCTGCAGTCGATTTGGAGGTTTTTTTTTTCTGCAATGTTCGACTTGGGGTCCTTTTGCGAAACCCTGACTTGACTTGAGAGATGAGAAAGATGTGGCAGTCCACGAAGCATTTAACCAACTTCGTCACCGACATCTGCTCGCCCATGAGTCGGCGTTCCCCTTCGAAGTGCTCGCCCAAACGGTCCGAGCTCAATTTCGAAGCGCTGCCAGCTGGGGATGATGATAGGACCCCTTCGCGCGGCTGCTGCCCGTCCCTCCTCCTACTCTCCCCGCGTCGTATACCACGTAGCCGCCATGTCGTTCACAATAGGTCTGCCCATCTCAATAACCCTTTGCCCTCACGTTTGCACTCACTGATCATCTTCCTTGTCCATCCTCAGCTCCTACGCGGCTGTTTTCCCGCTCGTCCAAGCCGGTCGCTGCGAGTTGGCGATGCAGCTTCTCGTCGACATCGCGTGACCATGGTCTACCTCCGACGTTGCCCAAGCACGAGCGGCTATCTGCTCTTTCTCCCAAACCGCTTCCCTCGACGAGGTACGTCCCCTACGGATGGGGTTTACGCTGTGGCCGGGGTGCTGACGTGCCTTCGTTCTCCTCCGGCAAAGTCCCTCCCCTTTGGAGCTGCTCGCCTCGCAACCGTCGCACTACATCACCTGCCTGCTCATGGGTCGTCGTTACACCGTAACCGCACACGACGTTCTGACCGTACCCAAGCTCAAATCCGTTCGCGCCGGTCAACGGATCGCGCTCACCCGCATCCTCGAAGTCGGTTCGCGCGACTACACCCTCCGCGCCGGTCCTTCCCCCTCTTCCCTTCCTCCCGCTCGACCTACCTCCGCCGTCTCTGCCAAATTGTCTTCTTTCCAACCTTCGACCCCCTTGTTACGTCCGGCCATGGCGCGTACGATCATTGATCGTTCTGGTGTTCCGAGGGATTGGCAACGTCATCCCGATTCGTTACCGTATTTCAAAGAGGGGGAAGTCAAAGCGCAAGTGTTGGTGTTGGAACATGTCAAGGGGAAGATGTTTGAGGTCGAAAAATTCAAGAGAAGAAAGGGGTACAGGAGGTGAGGTTCGGTTCGGATCGCGGATCGGATCGGGTCCACAAGAGCGTGTATCGGTGAACGGGTAAACGAAAATCTGATCCATCTCTGCCATTCCTTTCACCGTTTTTTAGGACCCTACGAAGCAAGCTCGAATTCACCAAGTTGCGAGTAGGGGACATCATACTTGGGTCTGGCAAGAGTGCATCGACATCTACCTCGGTAGTGGCTGAGGGTGAAGCGGGGCCGAAAGTGTTGGATACAGAGTTGAAAATCGAGGGGGAAAAGGGTGTGAATTGATATTGAAATGAATATTCGCTGTTAGCCTTTCACTATTACTGGCGTAAAATTTCAAGTCTTTGCTTTGCTAAAAGTTCGTCCCGGCACTGAGGGCGGCATGTCTCAGCTGTGGGGGGGCGTGGCTGATGTTCCGCGCTGCTTCGGGGGCGGGGCGCATCACCGACAACGCGTCGACGGAACTTGCCTCTTCTTGCTTCCACCCGCCACACCCCATCCCCTCCCTCTCCGAAATGAGGTACGTCCAACCCCCCCTCACCCCTACCACCCTACCACCCTACAACCCACTAACGACTGCCAACCCTCCCCCCCACGCCACCCTACAGCCCCCTGCCCGCCGCTTTACGACCGATCGTGATCTGTGGCCCGTCCGGAACGGGCAAGTCGACGCTCCTACAATTATTGTTCAAGGACTATCCGGACAAGTTCGGCTTTTCGATTTCGCGTAGGTTCCTCTCGCTGCTTTTGACGTGGTTTGGGGAGTGAAGAGATGGGGGTTCGTAGGAGAGAGCGCCGCGCGCGCTTTCGCTCGCTCGTACGCGGTTGAACTTGACTGGCCTTTTGAAAAGTGGAGCTTTTCCGCGTTTCGCAACTTTCCCCCTACCCCCCCCCCCCCTCACTCGTCACTTACTCCCCCCCTCCTCTTTCTGTTCCCCCATCATTCATTTTTCTCAGACACGACTCGTTCCCCTCGTCCGGGGGAGACGAACGGTCAATCGTACCACTTTACGACGCGCGAAAAGTTCCTCAAGCTCGTCCAAGAAGGCGCCTTCATCGAACATGCCGAATTCAGCGGTAACTTGTACGGCACGACCGTGGGTGCCGTCGAAGCGGTCGCCAAGCAGGCGAACAAGACTTGTATTCTAGATATCGATACACAGGTGAGTACCCACGTCAAAAAAAAAAAAAAAAAAAGGTGACCTCAGCTCTGGTCTCCGCTGTTCGAAGAAGATCCCGATCTCCCTACGCAAAAATATTGATCCCCCCCCCCTTCCTCCTCCACCATCACAGGGTGTGAAATTAATCAAAGCGAACCACCCTTCCCTTCACCCAATCTACATCTTCATCTCCCCCCCCTCTCTCCCCTCCCTGCACGCCCGTCTAACCCAAAGAGGTACCGAATCCGATTCTTCCCTAAGCTCTCGTCTCTCCGCGGCCGTACGCGAAATCAACTACGCCCAAACGGTAGGAGCTTTCGACGTCGTGATCGTGAACGACGATTTGAGAACCGCTTACGAAAAGTTGAAAAAAGTCGTCGTGGAGGGGGATTTGAAAGCGGGGGATAGCTTACCCGATTTTTCGAGGGAGGAATAAGATACCGAGGGTGGGGGGGGGGGGGGTCTGCACGGATGGGTCTGCGGGGAAGATTTTTTTTTTTTTTTTTTTTTTTTTTTTTGTTTTCGACTCGTAATTCTTCTTGAAACTTTTGCGGGGGGAGCTACATTGAGCATGAAAGAGAGTCGGGGGGAGAAGAGAGAGAGAGGATGCTACGCGTATCGGAGTGGTTGAAAGGTTACGAAATGGAACACATTATATATACACATTAAGGTAATGAAGCCGAGGATGAAAATAACCCCCCCCCCCCCCCCCTCCCCCTAAAAGAGGAAAGAGAATGGAGATCAATGCGGAAATAAATCAAAACCCCTCGAAAGCGAAGAATCTCGAAGCGTTGCCTCAATGAATCCTAAACGAATGCAAGAAGCCCATGAAGCAAATCGTCGCTATACAAATGAAGGGGAAGGCGTAATTGAACGGCCAAGCGTGCGCGTTCGGTCCATCGGCGATCGAGGCGGCCCAAATCGCTCCTCCCATCAAGGGGCCGATGAAGCGCGCAAAGGAGACGCATGATTGGGCGAGTCCGTTCGCTAGGGGTGTGAGATGCGGTGGGGACATGGCGTTGACGAGAACCTGTTTGATGGGCAAGGATGAGGTTCAGTTCGAGTCATCTCGACGGCATCGAATGCGCCGAGGACGTACCATTACAGCGGTGTACGAACACGTGTTCGCGAGGTACCTCAACGAACTCAACAGCACCATCCCGAACATGACGAACGAATTCGAGCTCTCCCTCAACAGACCCCTCAACTCGGGAAAGAGGATGTAAACGGGGATGTAGAGAATCAGACCGAGGCGGAACATGGCGAGGTGGGACAGGGAGCCATGCGGAGGTCCGACGAAGGGGTAGAGACGGAATTGCCAGACCATGGTGAAGAAGAACATGCACGCGACGAGCATGGCGTAGTTGCTCGCTTGCAGGCCGAGACCACCCGACGGAACAGGGGTGACGAGAAACGACCTGCACGTACAAACAGTTGGCATCAGCACCTCCCTCGGATCGACCGAGTCCCTTCGAGACTGACAAGAAGATCTGATCACACGTGCACCCGTGCAGCGCCAACAACGAGTACTGCGCAATCATCGACAACGGCAACTGCCTCAACAGACCCGTCGTATCGGCCTTGACCTCGACCGAATCCGCATCCCCCGCCTCGTTGTACTCGATCACGCTCGCAGGTCGACCTTCGGGGATAGGGGCCATGGGGTCGAATCCGCCGCCTGCACCATACTCGTCGGTCTTCACTCCAAGCGATCCAGGAGGTGGCGCATGTTGCGTCGATTGCACGAGCGTTTCGTCGTCCAGACCGGTGTTGGCAAAAATGGAAGGCGCGCCTCGACCCGGAGCAGCGGAAGAGGCCATACTTCCACGTCGGAACCGTTGCGTGAGACCGCCACCGTAGGACGAGATCCGATTCGGTGATGCGTAACGATCGGGCATCGTCGCTCGAGAAACCGATCGATCACGGGGCCGCGCCTGGCCAGGCAAGGCGAGCGATTCCGCACCGGGGGAAATCGTCCCGCTGCCACCTTGTTGCGACTCTTGCAGTCGTGCGTGACCTCGCAGATCCTCCATCGACGGAGGTGCGGTCCCGTACCCGAAAAAGTCCGGTTCGGCCGAAAGCGAGAAGCGCGAATCGTCGACATCAAGACGCGATTCGTCGTCGCCGGCAACCCTACTCGTATTCGTTCGACCGCCATGCGTCCCCGTTCCACCGATGCGCGACTCCTCGTCCTCGAATACGGAATCCGCATACTCGACTTGCGAGTATTGATCGTCAGCTTCGCGCGTCGCATTGGCGACCCAAAGATCCGAGATGGAAAACACGGCTTGTTCGTTCGCCATCAGGAGCCTGTGAGAGCCTCCGAGGCCAGATTAGCTCGGTACGAGCCCGTGCAAGCTGACTCGAGCAAGAGATTCCCACCTTTGAGCAAACGAGAAATCCCCTCGATCAAAGTCGTAATCGGGCGCGTACGCATTCGTCGTCGCAACGGACATGGTTCTGGACGCGGACCTGCCCGTCCTTCGCGCACTCGGCATCCTCATGGCACTCGCACCGGTCTCGCTCCCCGATCCCAGTCGGCCATACCCATACGCCGAACCACTGAACCGATTCGAGGCGCGTCGCGTCGCAGGTGTCTGTCGATCGTCCGTTGCGGCGATAGAAGGGGATAACGTCCCGTTGCTCTGATAGTTGGATCCGAGCCCGATCGGCGAAAGCAAAGGTTCGCGCTGAGCACGGTTCGGCGACGCTTGCAATGAGACGGCCGAATCACGCCCCACCGTCGTTTCGTCAAGTCGAATGGGTTGACCTCGACCGCGGACTGTGGAGATAACGCGACGGATAAAGCCTTTCGCGATGGAGGTGAAAGACCTCGCAGCGCGTTCGACGTCCTTCTCCGAGGGCAACATGATCGAAGCCGATCGGGGTCCTCCATCCCGATCGAGGCAGAGCGACAGGATCGCACCCGAGGTCGTGACCGATCCAGCGATGAGGCAAGGGAGCAAATAAGGGTACTCTTTGAAGAGGACCGAGTCGCCAAAAAAGCGCGGGTGGTTGCGCACCGGGTTCTCGGCGAGACCACCGATGATCGAGCCAACGATACCGCCGAGACCCCACGAAAGCCCCATGTAGGTGAAAGCTTTGGATTCGTTCGACGAGTCGGTGATGGCTTGGACCGCGGATCGAGCAACTCCGACGGCACCTGAGAGGGTGAGAAAGTCCAGTCAGGATCGACTCTGGCAAGGTGCAGGAAGATCGACGTACCGTTAAAGAGGCCCATTCCGAGACGGACTGAGATCGCGGTACCGAGATTCTTGGACGTTCCAAAGAGCATGAGGGTGACACCATTGCCGAGCAAGGAAGTGAAGAGGACGGCGCGACGTCCGTGCTTTTCAGCGACCGAGACCCACAACAACGAGGTGAGGAATTGGGAGAGGAAGAAAACAGATCTGTGATTATAGATTGATGAGTAAATGCAAGGTGGGCGACGTTGTCTATGCGCAAAGACTTACGATACGACTCCCGTCCAAAAACCGACGACGGCCTCGCCACCCCCTTCGGGACCTTGGCCGACGCCAAAGCCTTCGATCATAAAGTACAAGAATGCTGTATGTAGGACAAGGTCATTTCACGGATCAGCATGGTCAAAGACTCGGCGGCATGTGAACGTGACCGAGATCACATGCGAACTCACGACTCGACAGGGACGCGCTCAGGAATTCGCCAAACATGCAGATGCAGCTGTAGGGTACAAAAGGGGGAGTACCATCAGGTCAGCCTCGTCGTCGGGAGGGCAAATAATCATGTTGTGAGTACAACTCACAGTACGATCAACGCAATCTTGGGCAACGGCGTCGGTTCCTTCTCGATCAGCTCCTCGTCCTCGGCCTCGGCACCTGGAGATCCCATCCCCGTCCCACGCGCCTCGAACGCGCCCCGATTCGATCGGCCATCCTCACTCGGACTGAGAAACGGGTCCCTCAATCTCTGCTGATCATTCCGACTCGTGAAACCGGGTCGAGCCTGCTGAGCGGATGCGGCTCCGAACGAGTTCCTGCCCGCTTTCGACTGGTTGGTCGTCGTCGAGAGTCGATTCCTCGTACCGTACGCCGAGCCAGAGACGGACATCTTGCGCCAATTCGGCGAGCCTCTCCTCGCCTGATCGTCCGACTCGTCCTCGTCTTGATCGTCCTCGTTGACGAGCAGGGTTGTACTCTTCGGGAGTTCCGCGTCGTCGTCCTCGGCCGAATCGAGCGCGTTCGAAGTGGCCGAAAAAGTGCGATACGGACCCGGTGGCGGAACGTCGATATGATTCGGTCTAACGGCCAACTTGCCCATCCTCGAAGAAGCGAGCGGTGCATCGGGAAGGTCTGCCGCACCATGGAACGTATCATGATGCCCCTCGTGGAGCTGGTCGATAGGATTCGGAGCGGTCGGTTCTTTGGGACTCGAGCTGAGCAGGTTCATCAAGCCTTCGGTGACGCGTGCAGCCGCACCAGGTGGGGGAGGCGCGGATCGTTTCTTGAACGATATGGGCTGGATCGTACCGGAGAGGGACCGCAAGGCCGCACTCGAGGAGAGAGATGCGTGGGGGTCGGCGTTAAGGTGGGTGGTCGAGTTAGGAGGACGACGGGCGCGGGAGGGCGAACCGGAATGGGAACCCGAGGGCGTCAACAGCGGATCAGAGTCGGTGAGGGAAATAGACGTTCGAACGGGAGAGGCCATCCTCGACATAGACCTTCGTCGAGTAGAGTGTGTGAGGGATATGCGCCGGGTCGTTTGCGACGTAGCGCTATTCGAGCCGGGCTAAGTCGTCGACGGGGGCTTGTGACGCGTTCGAACTCGCGCTTACGACGATCGCCACCCCCCGAGTCGAGTCGGTCGAGTCGAGTCGAGCGTGATTCGGTCGACCAAAGAGCAGGATCGAGCGCGTGGCTTGTTCGTCAACGCCAATGGTCCGAGTTCCCCGAGTCGGTGTCCCTCGATTTGAGCGTGATTCGGAAAGAACAGAGGTCAGAGCGCGTCGAAGCTAAGTCGACGAAGGAGCGAGACAGCGCCACTGCCAGCGCCGCCACTCCTTCGCGTCAAGCGAGCGACGGCGGCCATCATCTGCGCGCGAGGTCAGAAACGCGATCGGAATTCCCTCAGCGCGAACGAATGAATTATTAACGGCGACGATCTAAAAGGGGATCCGAGCCCCTGACACTACTGCAGGTGGTAGCCTGACGTTGGCAGACGGCTGACGAACTTGACTACTTTTGTCTGGAGGCACAGAAGTTGTTTCTGTGTCGTCATCAGTGAGCTGAAAATCCCTCAGTTTTCGGACAGCATCAGTCCTTCAAGGGCAAGGACATCCTCAGCCTCAGCCTCAGGAAAATGCCGATTCCTTAATAAGGCTCGGAGCTCCCTCTTTCAACGAGCCGAGCAACCAAGTCAGCGCAGCGGCGGTAAAGCGGATCTTCGTCTCGAGGAAGCTCTCGACCAAAACTTCACTCGCGAGTCACACTTTCAAGGCCTGAAAATCCCCCCAAGTCTGTCCACTCGGAGGCGAAAATATTGACTTGGACATCTCGCTCAAAACAGCTCTGAGTACCCGAGGCCGACGCGTGCTGATCCGCCCCCGACTGCGGCCGAAGAGTCGGGCCTCTCGGAAGCACCGAGCGCACCTTGCACGTCTTCATGTCGGATCGGCAATCCGTCCGCCCAAGCCGATCTTCTCGATGCCACATGACAAAGTGTTCACTAAGCGTGATCTCTTTTCCCGCTATCTTCCCTGACAACGTGCCGGCGCGCCAGGGTTATGTAAAGGACATTCAGGCCCGAATCATCTCGAACTAAGCGGTGATGACCAAAGGCGGGCCGCTCTCGGACGTGTGGACAACCTGGTGGTGGTCGAGAGTGAGGCAACGAAGCTTTCCCAGCCGTCCGGTGCCATCGAGTACCGATGCAATCCATTCGATAACATACCCCAAACCAACATTCACCCCTTTTCCGTCTGCCCCCACCTCGACCGTTTCCTGTCCCTCTCTTTATCCGCTCCTCCACCACGACTCCTCTCTCTATCCCTGTCCCTATTTCGATCCCGATCCCGATCGTGTTTCCCCGAGCCGGCGTCGTGATGCCTCCCATTCTCGCTTTGATCACGATGTGAGGCTTGCAAGGTCGATGACGCGGAGGTGAAGGAGATGTTGGATCTCGATCCTGCGGCTTGGGCTTGTTGACGTGCCTCGGATTGGTCCTTTTGCATTGTGGCTGCGAGAAATGAAACAATTCAATCTCATTCTTCCTGATTCGCAGCCCACTCGTGCGAACCAAAGCTTGACGTACCAATCCTCCTCGCATCCCCTTCCGTCGCAACGAGTTGGACATCCCAAAATGCTTTCCCCCACATACTACTCGTCTCCTCGACGCCGACCAAGCCGACCAACTGACTCAGTATCCTCGGATTCCTGAACGCCTTGCTCGATTCCAACGTATCGTTGAACCAGAGGTTTCTCTCGTGGGCGAGGGTGACGAATTTGTCGATTTTGGATTGTACGTTTGGGTTCACGCCGAGGGTCGGTAAGGGGGGTATGTTGAATTGGGAGAGGGAATCGAGGGTGATGTTGGATGTGGTGGCGATGGCTGAACCGGCTTGGCGAGTCGTACGGTGGTGGTGGGGCGAGCTGGGTGGAGTGAGTTGATCGCTCGTGCGCGAGGGTGGTGTAGGTTCGGCCGTCGTCGCGCGTTCGTAAGGAGGGGGCGACGAGGACCTCTGTTTGCCCTTGCCATTCTGGTACCTCCCCCCCGGCGAGTTGAGGTTCGAAGAAGGTAAATGATGGTTCGTGACCTTGACTCCGGGGAGAGGGGATGATGCTCTGGACGACGAGGTGGAGCTGTTCCCGCCGCCGGTCGTGGTTGTCGCTTTGACGCGTGAGAGGGTCGAGGAGGAGGCTATGGGATGTGCCACTTTGTCAGTAGCAGGAGCAGCTCGTCTCTTGCTTTCGTTCACTCACGAAATACCGCACGCGTACTACCCATGCTCGGCTCAATCGGCGGTCTCGCCGGCGTCGGTGCGACGTCCCGCTCGTCCTCGGATCCAGATCCCGAAGCTGACCCGGATCCGTAGCCAGAGAGACCTGCGAGCGACACAGAAGGGTTTGGATCAGTTTCTCGTTCTGGCTCTGTTGGCTGTTTGGGTGGTGGTTACCCTGCATGACGCTGGTCGAGAACGGTCCGATCCGACAGGTCGTTTGTGAGTCGGGTCCCAAGTCCGAGCGGTGGCTTCAAGTCGCGCGGCAGACTCATAAGCCCTTGTTTTTTTATTTGCCCCGTTTTGTAATCGCGTAATGACCAATTGAGGCCTAAGCCCCATTTTGTAATCGCCTAAGGACGAATTGACACACGCCAGGTTGTGCCCGTGTGCTCTCTCTCCTCCTCTCTGGATGTGCTCCCCGCGGCCATGCTCCAACCACGGCAGCTGCTTCTCCTCCTTCTCGCCCTCCTCCTCTCCCACCTAGTCCTCCTCGATGCGGCGCCCAGCACCAACAACTGGGCCGTGCTCGTCTGTTCGGTCAGTCCCGGATGCCGCGTCCGATCGGCCCCTATTTGACAGCCCCGCTTGAGCTGATGCGTGTTCGTCCAACGCGCTCACCAGTCAAGGTTCTGGTTCAACTATAGGGTAACTATGCAGTGGCCGATGCCTCGGGCGACGAGCTGACACCTACGCTGTGATCGACCCCCCCCCCCCCACCACATGCTCTTCGTGCGACGTATCCTCGGCCGACCCCTTTCCGTGCGACCGACCCAGCATATGGCCAATACACTTGCCATGTAAGTTGCATCACCCTTCAAACCCCCCCTACCTTTCCTCCAGCTGACGACCTGCCTCCCCCCAGGTATCGTACCGTCAAACGGCTCGGGATCCCCGACTCTCAAATCATCCTGATGCTAGCCGACGACGTCGCGTGCAACCCTCGCAACCCGTTCGCCGGTACGGTCTACTCGAACGCCGACCGTCGCTACGACCTCTACGGTACCTCGATCGAGGTCGACTACAAAGGCGAAGAAGTCAGCGTCGAGACCTTCCTCCGACTCTTGTCCGGTCGGGTTCCCGAGAGCACTCCCGTCAACAAGCGCTTGTTGACGGACGAGAGGAGTAATATCTTCATCTACATGACCGGACATGGTGGGGACGAGTTCCTCAAGTTTCAAGACTCGGAAGAGGTTTCGGCGTTCGATCTGGCCGATGCGTTGGGAGCGATGTGGGAGAAGAAGAGGTGGGTCGGGTTCGATGAAGACCGAGGTGGATTCTCATCGATGAATCCGTCTACCGCGTCCCACAGGTACCACGAGATCCTCTTCATGGTCGACACCTGTCAAGCCAATACGCTCTACACCAAATTCTACTCACCCAACATCATCGCGACCGGTTCGAGCGCAAAGGGGGAAAACTCTTATTCCGTCAGTCTCGGTTGGGCTTGAGGTCTAGCGAGACTCGCACACTAACGCTGATCCTCCGACAGCACCACGCTGATAACGACATTGGCGTCGCTGTCACCGACCGATACACACACCACGTGCTCAACTACCTTGAAGGTATCAACAAGACTTCGAACGCAACTCTGCAAGATTTGGTCAGTTCGCCCCCCCCCCCCCCCCCCCCCCAGACGGCATCTCCCCCGCACCGCTGAAACTGACTCCACCCCTCCCCTCCCCCTGCCCACAAAGTTCGACACGTTCTCCTTTGAGAAATTCGAATCCAACGCCGGCATTCGTACGGACCTCTACCCTCGCCCCGTCGATCAAGTCCTCCTGACTGACTTTTTCGGTGGAGTTGCCCAAGTCGAAATTTCCACCGAGGAAGAATTCGATTCTTCAATCGAGCTCGATGACAATGTCGATGACTCGACGACATCGGAAAAAGAAGTCGTCCCAATGCCTTTGATCCCTCTAAAAAGACGACTTCTTTCAACTTCCATCGCTTCAACTGGTTCCGAAAAAGTTTACAAAGGGGAAACGATCCGACTTTATTCGATCATCACCGTCGTACTCGTTTTGGTCGGTTTGCAGGTCTTGGCTACGATAGTGGGTCAGGCAAGCGGGGTCATTGAGGGGGTAAAGACGAAGGTCTCCTAGATGGCTTGCTGTGAATTTTTGGCAGGACCCAAACACACACACACACTTGTTGTTGTAATCAAAGAACCCCAACTTCCATTCCGCAAAGGAATCCGCTCTTCATTGCCGAAGCCACTTCATGCCATCATTTCAACCAAAACCCTTTTCTTTCTCTAAATTCGAGAAGCAGCAAGAGATAGGGCAAAGGTGGTATTCACGTTCCTCCGGAGAGCAGCGAAACCCCATGCGAACCGCTTAAAGGACACCCAATCAATCAGTCCCATGTCCTGCAGGCTAGTAGTAGTCGAGAACGTCAAGTCCCGATTCCGGGACTCACGCGACAGGCACGACCATATCTCTTATACAATAAAACATACACGCCGCTCCAACTTGGGCTCCCTGACAAGGTAAGACGCATCCCTCTAGGCACGTCTTCCAGCTGCAAAAAAAAACCCCCCAAGTCATGTCCCGACTTTGGGAAATAAGTCCTCGAACTAGCTCACTTTCGCAGGCCCTCGTAAGAGAGGCATCGAGATGAGATTGAACGTACCCTGGTGTGTCACCCAGCACAACGGTACTGTCGCAGTCTACGATACAATCCCTTCATCATCATCATGCAAATCTTGCTTCATCAATGAACGAAAAATCCTCCCTCCAAGCTCCCGATCGCAAAAGACCCCGTGGCCCTCCGACGGGTTGTTCCCGGACTTACGTGCAGATCGGGGCGGACATTGGTTCGGTAAAGTTGTTATCACTTTCGTCCGTAAATGGGCTCCAAACAATGATCAATATGAACCGTTCGGTCTTCCTTCCCCAGCAAACAACGACTCACCCCACCGAACGATCCTAATTCCAAGGCGCGATCGGCGACCCATCGTCGCCGTCCATCGCAAGACCGATCGTCGAACTTGAAAGGAGCACCAGGGCCGAAGCGCCTTGGAGGAAGAAAGACGTGCGCATACTCCGAATTTTCGTAATCCGATAAGCTATCGAGGTGGATGCGCAAGGTACGTGATGAAGCACACCACCTACCTAGATATACTCCCGTGACTCTGACTCGATCAGCAAAACACGGGCCTTCTCTGAGCCTCTAGTCTCCCACCCCACGTGGCCGCACGGGCGACCCCTAAGTGGAAGTGGACCGACAGATGGAGTCAAAAGGTGGCGTGTAAGGGGATGCCTTACAGAACAGCCCCATAAGTAGCCTCCGAGTAGCTTAGAACTGTCGAGTTCTAGTTACGACTTGCTTTTACCCTAAGCGGTCAAGAACGACAGATTGTATTTCATACACATCAGACTCGGAGGCGCATACCTTACATGGCGAGAACTGCTGTAATAGACGATTGACGAGTTCGAGCTTCTTGAAAGGCTTGTCGGACATGTGTAGTCTTCAAATTAGAAGAGAGTTGGAGTCACTACCAAATATTGCTATGACAAGTCTATTCACATAAGGAGAGGAGAGCTTGTCTCAGCTGTGAGCAAGCCTCCCCGAGTGGCGCACCTCTCACTCACGTTGTGGCAAGATATGCGCCTCTGGCCTCTGCTGTGCACAATTACAATTTGGCGTTTCTGATGGCTCCAGTCGAGCGAAGCTCTGGATCCAGGCTTGTTACAACATGTACCTCTTTACGGGGGAAGGCCCGAAATTGTGAGCTTGAAGCACCATGCAGGAAGCTGCGAGAATGGCCGAGTTGATCTTGAACATACAGCAGTCAACCGCCCTGCGTCAGAATCTACCTCGGGAGCAAAGAATGCCGAACTCCCAAGTAGCGACCAGCGTCATCACACTGAAATACATCGTGCGAAAGGCGACGAGCAACCTTTTGAGCTCAGCGAAACGACACACGACGAAGCACATGTCCGCTCAGCAGAGTTCAAGTCCGCTAAAAATCATCCAACGGGTGCTGCGTAGCAGAACAACGCAAGCGGCCCCGCATCTGGTTCTTTAGCGCAGGCTGGAACCTCTTGGAAGCCGTACCACAAGTCTGGTGCAAAGCATTCGAACTCGCCGGGACCACAAAAGCGTTTTACGGCGAAGCAGGAAGGGCGAATGGAGCGAGGTGAATCTTTTCACGAGCTGAAGCCGAGGAACGAAGTACGTAAGTACGAGAGCCGATGATGATAGTAAAGATAGTTGGAGAAAGAAGATAAGCGCTAAGGGAGCGCGCGCGAGGCTGGCTCGAGACGCGCGAGGCGTCTAATATCAACAACTAGTAACTAATCATAATCGGGAATACCAGTGGGATGAAACAGCAATATATTGACACCCCCCCGTGCTGTCATACCACTGCACCTCGCAAACCCAAATTCTCCCGATGGAAGATGAACGGCTTGGGACCCAAGGCTTTGGTGAAAATATCGGCAATCATGTCGCCGGTGGCGATGTAGCGGACCTCGATCTCCTTCTCAGCTACCCTCTCGCGGACGTAATGTTCCGAGATGCGAACATGACGAGACCCCTGATGGTTGGTCGGGTGCTGCGCAAGAGCCAGCGAACCTTGGTTGTCCCCGTAGAGTACGACTGGACCGGAGACCGGAGCGCCAAGTTCAGCCAGGAGTTCGCTCAGGTGGATGGCATCACCGCTTGTGTACGAAAGAGAGAGGTACTCTGCGTCGGTAGTGGACTTGGCCACCCTGTGCTCGCGTTTGGAGCACCAAGCAATAGCGGCTCCGGACAAGATGAACGCGTAGCCCATGGTCGATCGTGAGGTCGTTAGACAGGCTCCCCAGTTCGCATCCGAGTAGCCATGGAGTGGTTGGCTGGTCTTGCGATAGGTGAGGCCCAAGTCCAGCGTGCCTTTGATGTAACGGAGGACCTGCTTGATGGCTGTCCAATGCTCCGGGCCAGGCTGCTGGGAGAAGCGAGCGAGGTAGCTGACCACGAAGGCGAGGTCCGGACGAGTTCCAACTGCGGCGTACATCAACGAACCGATGGCCTGCAAGTAGCGCGTACGATCCTGAGGAGTGGCCGCCAAGTCCTCGAAGTCAAGGACGACACCTGGCTGCATTGGAATACTTGCCGGCTTGGCATCGGTGAATTGGAACCTGGCAAGGATGTCCCGAAGGTAGCGCTCTTGTGAGAGCGTGATAGAGCCGTCTTGTCCACGTTTGACTTGGATGCCTAGAATATATTCGGCAGGTCCGAGACGTTTGATGCCGTATGCGAGTTCCAGCGCGTCCAGCACCCGCTCGATTTCGGCGGTAGAGGGACCAACCAAAAGCAAGTCGTCGACGTACAAGGCAATATAGTGTGAGTGCCCGTCGTGTTCGCGGCGGTAGATACAGATGTCAGACCTGGTGGGGACGTATCCGAGGGACCGCAGAGTCGAGTCGATCTCAGCGTTCCAGATGGTGCCGGCCTGGCGAAGGCCGTAGATGGATTTGGACAGCTTGAGGATCTTGCCTGGCAGGTTTATGCCCTGAGGGACGCGCATGTAGAGAGGCTTGTCAAGTTTGCCGTGTAAATACGCCTTGTTGACGTCGGCCTGATGGACGTGATAGCCGTTGGCCGCGGCGAGTGCGATGAGGGCTCGAATGGACGTGAATTTGACGACAGGGGCGTAGGTCTTCTCGAAATCAAGGCCAGGGCGTTGGGCACATCCGTGAGCGACAAGTCGGGCCTTGTGATCGGTGATGTCGCCATGCTGGTTGCGTTTAGTCCGGAACACCCAGCCTGACCGCAGGAGGATCTCACCCGCGGGGAGCTCACAGGATTCGACGATTTGGAAGACCTCGTAATCGTTCAGAAGCGAATCGAATTCATCCTGTGCCGGAGCGCCCCAAATGTCCTCTTGTCCCGATCGAACGACTCGCCCCAATTTGCCGGATCGCAAACAACCGACAAGTCATGATCCGCGAAGCCGGCCTTGGTGGATGCGAAGGCAAGGAGCAGGCTCTTGAAAGAGGCGGTGGGTCCGTCGGGGTCTTCGACCGGCTGTTCCCGCGTGATCATGGTGGGAACGGGTTGGCGGCGAGTCCGGGGGCCATCAATGATGTTTCGAGCGTCGACTTCACCGTACTTCCCTGGATCGGGACCAACCTTGGCGACGTCGCCGTACTCCCAAGTCGGCTTGACTTTGGCGAGTGGAGCTGGATCCGGAGGTGGTTGCGGCAGGGTCACGGCTGACTCCGTCGTTGTGCTCGTGGTCGATGAGGCGTCGTCGTTGTCGGCCGAGCTGGTCGATTCGGGCGACGCGGGTGCCTCGACAGGTGTTGGAGCTTCGACGGGTGGAGGCTGGGGGGCGTAACCCGGGATGGACGGCTGCGTCACTCGGGTGGGCGCGATCGCGAAGGGGAACTCGGTTTCTACGAACGTCACATTGCGGCCCAGACTCACACGCATGGAGGAAGGGTCAAGAAGACGGTAGGCTTTCGCATGTCGATCGTACCCGACGAAGACCAGAGGAATCCCTTTTGGGTCGAGCTTGTCCCGTCGGTGAGCCGGCACGGTGGTCCAAGCGCGACAACCGAATGCCCGAAGACCCCCTACGCCTGGTGTGTGGCCCGACCAACGACCGTTTGGGATGGCTCCACCAAGGGCCGCATGAGGCGAGAGGTTCTTGGCGTGAATGTAACACATGGCAGCCTCGTCCCAGCACGATCGTGGGAGTCCCGAGTGAGACAGTAGTGCCAGGGTGCCCTCGACGATCGACCGGTTGGCTCGCTCCGCCCGACCGTTTTGCTCGGGTGTGTACGGTATGGTCAATTCGCGACGAATTCCGCGCGCCACGCAATAGCCGTTGAAAGCGGTAGAGACATACTCGCCCCCGTTGTCCGAGCGAAGTGTTTTGACCCTGCGACCCGTGGCGTTTTCGATCTCCAGAAGCCAATCCTTGAATGTCTGAAGGACCTCGCTCTTGTGCCCGATGGGGTAAACCCAAGTCTTCCTCGAGAAGTCGTCGATGAACGTGACGAGGTATCGCTTATGGCTTAAGGATTCCTCGGGGAAAGATAAGACGTCCGAGTGCACCAATGCGAGTGGTTCCGCTGCATGCGACGACGAAGAGGGGAAAGGCAAACGA